CCATCGACAGCTCGGTTCAAACGCTTCCAGCCTCAAACGAAGTAAAGAACCTGGTTTCCTTCACGGAATTCAGAGCCCTGCGCGACGAGGTCCAGCGCATCGCGCAGTCACTTGCAACCCTGGAAAAACCACGGCCGAGACGCCCTCGCTCCTTTTCTCGCCCTCGTGGGTCGTCGCGCGCGCCTGAGAGTACTCGAGTTTGCTGGTACCACCACCGCTTTGGCGACAACGCCACCAAGTGCGTCCTGCCCTGCGCTCAACAGGGAAACACCCGGGCCACGCACTGAAAGCGGCCGGTGCCCCTGGCCTCCCAGCGCGCCGCTTTTCTCCATCTTCCACCTGCCCAACTAGCCAAAATGAGCAGCGGGGGGAGCCTTCAACGAACAGTTCTCATAATAACAAAATTAATTTGAAGAGTGAACATTTCGTGCCATCCCAAGCGCAAATTCAACCTGGAAAATTGTCTCACATATCAGGAGTGCCTTCTCAACCACGCCTATTTTGTGTTGTGGACAAAGTATCCAAGAATCGCTTTCTGGTGGACACAGGTGCAGAGGTTAGTGCAATCCCAGCTTCCCGTGTCGATCGTCTGAGGCGCCCAAGCTACAACTTGCAAGCTGTGAATGCTACAAAAATTGCAACGTACGGCCAGCGCTCTCAGACGATGGACATCGGTCTACGCCGAACTTTTCGCTGGGTTTTCTTGGTTGCCGACGTCAGTCACGCCATCCTCGGAGCTGATTTCCTCCGCCACTTCGGTCTCCTCGTTGACATGCGCAACACGCGGCTACGAGATGCCACAACGCTCCTGTCCGTGCACGGCATCGCGGAGGCCACGGGGGCGGTGACTTCAACACTACTTCGACCGCAAGTCAGGTCAGACTTCGAGGATTTGCTGCGTGAGTTTTCTTCCCTGACGTCTCCAGTGACCACAACTCGCCCCATAAAGCACAACATCACGCACCACATCATCACGTCGGGACCACCCGTTCATGCACGCCCTCGCCGACTACCACCTGAGCGACTGAACGTGGCTCGGCGAGAGTTCGAGCACATGCTTGAACTCGGAATCGTGCGACCGTCCTCCAGCCCATGGTCGTCCCCACTGCATATGGTCCCAAAGTCCACTCCTGGAGATTGGCGTCCTTGCGGTGACTACTGCTCCCTCAACCAAGTGACCCAACCAGACCGCTACCCTGTGCCCCACCTGCACGACTTCGTAGCCACTCTTCACGGAGCAACGGTGTTCTCTAAGGTGGACCTTGTCAAAGCCTACCACCAAATACCAGTGGAAGAAGCTGACATTGCAAAAACGGCCATCACTACGCCGTTTGGGTTGTTTGAGTACACCCGGATGCCCTTCGGACTTCGGAACGCGTCGCAGACTTTCCAGAGGTTTATCGACGAGATAACACGGGGCCTGGATTTCTGCTACGCGTATGTCGATGACATTCTCGTCGCCAGCACTTCTGCCGAAGAACATGCAAAACATCTGCGACAACTCTTCGCTCGCCTCGAAGAATATGGTGTACTCATCAACCCAGACAAATGTCAGTTTGGTGCTAGTGAAATTAATTTTCTGGGACATCGCATCAACTTTGACGGTCTTCGCCCGCTCGGCGATAAGGTGCAAGCTATTCGGGATTACCCTCAGCCACTTAACAAACGAAAACTTCAGCAATTTCTAGGATTGATTAACTTCCACCGAAGATTCCTCCCAGGTTGCGCACGCACACTGCAGCCTCTGAACAATCTCCTATCATCCCCGGGACCGAACACCGCTCTGTTGGAGTGGACGGACCAGGCCCAGGCCTCATTCGTGCAGATCAAGGAAGACCTGGCGGCAGCTGTGCTCCTCGTCCACCCTCAACCAGATGCAGCTACACGCCTCATGGTGGACGCATCTGATGGCGGCGTTGGCGCGGTGTTACAGCAGCTTGTTGGTGAGACTTGGCAGCCTCTGGCATTTTTCTCCAAGTCCCTGTCACCTGCGGAAACTCGCTACAGCACCTACGGACGCGAGCTGCTGGCAGTCTACATGGCGGTCAAGTACTTCCGCCACTTCTTAGAGGGACGGTCATTTCACATCATGACAGATCACAAGCCCCTGATCCACGCCTTCACCACCAAAACGGATGGGCTCTCCCCAAGAGAAGTTCGACATCTGGCGTTCATATCGGAGTTCTGCACCGACATCCGCCATGTAAAGGGAACTGAAAACACCGCAGCTGACACTCTCTCACGCGCCAACGTGGGCAGCCTTACGTCCGCTACTCCCATTGATTTTGACAAGATGGCAACGCTTCAGAAAGAAGATGAAGAGCTCAGAGATCTACGTGCTTCTTCAGCAACGCTAATTCTTCAAGACGTGCCCCTACCGACATGCACTCAGCTCCCCACATGCGACATTTCCACTGGCACCGCGCGCCCGTTCGTGCCGAAGTCCTTTCGACGCTCAGTGTTTGACTCTCTGCATAACCTCTCCCATCCCGGAATCCGCGCCACACAAGCATTGGTGAAAGCCCGATATGTGTGGCCGGGCATGAACACGGACATTCGAGATTGGGCTCGCACATGCACCCAGTGTCAACGCTCTAAAGTGCAGCGTCACACTGTTTCTCCGCTCTCTCCATTCCTGCCGCCCGATGCCCGGTTCAGCGAGGTTCACATTGACATTGTGGGACCTCTGCCACCCTCACAAGACTGTTCCTACATACTCACTTGTGTGGATCGCTTCACCCGCTGGCTGGAGGCTATCCCCCTGCGAGACATGTCCGCGGAAACCGTCGCTAAGGCGTTTCTGCAGACGTGGATTGCGCGCTTCGGTACACCTTCTAAGGTCACAACCGACCGTGGCCGCCAGTTCGAATCTGCCCTCTTCAGAGAGTTCCTAACGCTCTTGGGAACACATCGGATTCGCACCACCGCCTATCACCCCGCAGCTAACGGCCTGGTGGAGCGGATGCACCGGCACCTGAAGGCATCAATCACCGCTTACGGCGAGCCCTCACGCTGGACCGAAGTGCTGCCACTCGTCCTCCTGGGCATGCGCACAACACTCAAGAGTGACCTGCAGTGCACCAGCGCCGAGTTGCTCTACGGCACTACCCTGCGGCTCCCCGGCCAATTCGTTGCAGCCAACATAGACGAGCAGCTTCCAGATCCCCTCCAGTACGTGTCACGCTTACGGACAATCATGGACAGCCTCCGTCCGACACCAACCCGTGCTAAACAGAGTCCTACCGTGTACCTGTTTAAGGAACTTGACACTTGTAACCATATATTCCTGCGCCGCGATGCTGTGAGAAAACCCCTCCAGCCGCCGTACGACGGCCCGTTTAAAGTCATTCGTCGTGGTACGAAACACTACACAATCGAAGTGCGCGGACAATCAGATGTGGTTTCGGTGGATCGATTAAAGCCGGCTCACCTCGAGCATTCAATCACCACTCCAACTAGTGCGCCGGCGAGAAATTCTGCAGACTCTCCGACGACGCGTGGTGGACGAAGGGTTCGTCAACCCGTACGATTTGTGCCGTAACGATTTGTGCATGTATTATTTTAATTTTTCAACATTTCTGGAAGGGGGAGTAGTGTGGACATCGCACGTCTAGTTTCGGTTTCGCCACACGTTTAGTTTCGGTTTCACCTCCGGCGTCTGGCAACTGGAGCCTGCTGAGGTATGCCGCCGGAGGGCGCGGGCGTTTGAGTAAACAGTTTCGAGTTACACTTTCGGGATCGGAGAGACACGCCCGCACCGGGGCCAACGCGCTCATGTATTGCTGTACCTTGTGTAGTCAAGTATAATAAATAGTTTTATGTACTGGACATCTCCACTACAGAGACATTGTCCTGTTGCCTTTTTTCTATTTTCTTACACTTTTTCTTTCAAATTTCATTCTCAGTCTCAGAATTTTGCATCATGTACAAACTAAACTTACTATATGCCAGCGTCACTCGGGCGGCGTTTGAGCTGATTACTACCAACGTGCAAGGGGGTAGGGGGGCAGTTTGCCAGATCGCTTCAATGTTTTTCTGAGCCTCAAGTGACCCTCAACCACCTGCCTGCCCCTGGCCGTTTCGAACTGGAGGGGTATCATTAAACAGTGTGTTCGTGTGATCACTACTGCGTGATGCATGTTAAAGACCCCCCTCTTCCCCCCCCCCCCCCCCCCCGGGCTGGCGGCCACAATTACTGATCTGCACACGTCACTCTGCACTGGCAAATAATCCAGCACATCCGGGACACTCGTCGTCTCATTTAATTGCCTGACCAACTTCGCGCAATCTAAATATCACACCCGAACATTTCTAAAACTGATTTCGTGAAAACCAGTGAGGCGTGAAAACGTTATTTGAAACTGAAACTGTGGCAAAACATGAAAACCGGACTTGAAACTTTGCGCACTTGAACTTTAAATAAATTCGAAACCTAAGTTTCTTTTTCGAATTTAGCGCTAAAAGAGAATCGTAACTTTCAAACTTTTTGAACTTGTGTAGAAAGAAATTCGAAAACATTGAATTTATCGAACTTCATGTCTATAAGAATTAGGAATGTTCAAATTTCAGATCCAAAGAAATTCCGAACATTCGAATCTCTCGAATTTGAAGCGAGGAAAGTTCGAAATCTTCGAATTTCTCGATTGAAATCTTCGAATTTCTCGAACCTCAAGTAAAAAAATATTCAAAATAATCGAACCTGAACTTTTAGAAACCGTAAAAGCTTCGAGCTTTTCGAATTCGAAACTCCACGATTTTTTAAAGTTGCGAATTTTTCGAATTCGAATCTCCGTGCGGACAAAAATATTGAAACCTTTCGAATTCGAACATCAGTTCAGTTAGAAAATATTGAAATCTTTTGAAATAGAACCTAGGGTGGTTCGCGGCATCCCTAGTTTTATGCATGATGTAATGTGGATGTGATGCACAATGCATGATGTGATATGCAACATATGATGTGATGTGCAATGCTTGACTTCTGACTTCACTGTATAATGCAGGTGGCCAAGCTGACCCACTCCATCTCGGTGTTCACGGAGGGCATCCTGATGATGAAGAAGACGCTGGTGGGCATAGTGCAGGTGGATCCTAAGCAGTTGCTGGAGGACGGCATACGCAAGGAGCTCGTGCACCAGGTCATGAAGGCCCTGCACACGGGCCTCGTCTTCAACCCCAAGGCCAAGGTACTAGGCTTATTTGTCATGGGCTTATGAGAGGGTGCGGCCACTTCCGGGACCCTCTAAACATACGACCCCTGGACAAGGTCGCTGTCAATCCTTTGTGTGTTTCTTCTCATGTATGAAGCGTTTATGTGAGCTGTCAAACGTGGATCCAGAGCAAGAAGTACAAGCACTCCGTGTGAAGGGACACTGCAAGTTCAAAAACATTTTTTTTAAAACCCCCTAATAGGCCAGGTATGCCACAAAATGTGTTTTTGAAAGAAAAAAAAAATGTTTTTGGAGGAGGGGCAGTATTTATGCTGCAATGCACAGTTATAACGAAGCCATGGTTGGAGCATAAAGGCCAGTCCTCCTCTTCAATTTTTCACTTGGCACTAAGACATGACATTGTGGTGTCAAGTCATGTTGCCACAGGACAGTCACTCAACAGTGTCTCGTGATCTGATGTCACATAATGTGGTCACACGACGCCGTGATTTGACACCCCACGTTGCAGTGTTTCATGCCCTGCCATGCAGTATGCGTGGATGCTTTGACAAATAAAGTTCTGGGGGTGGGTTTCCGTTATAAAGCATTCTATTCTTCAAAACGTCCGAACGTTTGTTACAAATTGTTGTAACAAACTAATCGGCCTCAGAGGCCAAATCAGTATGCTAATCTCACGCCCTCGCCTTGTGTTACCTTTCCAGACGAGCGAGCTGGTGCCCAAGCTGACGGCCCTGGGCAAGGTGATGGACGGCTACTACCGGTCCTTCGAGTACATCCAGGACTATGTGAGCATCTACGGGCTCAAGGTCTGGCAAGAGGAGGTGTCCAGAATTGTCAGCTACAACGTCGAGCAGGAGTGCAACGCCTTCCTCAGGCACAAGGTGACTGCTAGGGTTTCACGATTTCGAAGAAAATCTGGTAGGCCCCAAAAATTAGCCCCCAAGCTGGCTTTTATCGAAAACAGAGAAAACCAAAATGCCCCGAATTCGAGCTGTCTTTTAACCCCTTAAGTGCCAAATTCTTTTTTTTTTTTTTTCAAAAAGTAACTTAAAAGTGCCATATTTTTTTTTATTTTGAATTGTTATTCCTCTAGTATTACACATAAAATTTAAAAGTTTATTCCGCAAAAATCAGCCGAGGCGAAAAAAATATTTGCCAACTAAAACGAGTGCCGCAAAACTACTTGCACCAGCCGAACTCATCCGTGGAATTGAGGGCTACCAAAAAAACCACTGGACGAGCTGTGCTCATCCACGCCATTTTTAGCCAGAAAGTGGCCAATGAGGTCGGCTCGTCCAAGGCACTTAAGGGGTTATTGAAAAAATCACGACTTGACGGGAAGAGAATTTGTATCTATAGCTTTATTTTTTGTGTTGTCCCGGAACATGACCTCGACCGAACTGTCCGCGAGACTGCTCCTTTGTTTGGAGCCTCACCCCTTATCTTGTTTCCTTTTCTTATCAGTACCAGGACGTTTTCCTAGTGTTCGGGCACGCGCATGTTGCCTGGAGGCTGAGGAATTTTACGCCAGTGTCCCATTTTCATAATCCCTGATAAACAAACCTTTCTTTGTCCAACACCGAAAATTGACACCGAAAAACACCAAACCTGCGGGAAAAAACGGAAACCTAGTAATAATGCTGGGGTGCCGTCTTCATCGCCCAGTAACTAAGCTCTATAACAGCAATCCTCGCAACTAGTTGGGACTAAGAAAGCAGTGCATGAATTGAAGGCCAGAGAAAGAGGATTGAAAAGAGACAGTATTGTGTCTGGCCAGTTCTTCTATGCTGCCCTCGTATTAGTGTACCATTTGTTTCTTCTTTTACGCACACTTGCAAGATTGGCTACTCAACTTTGCCTTTTTTGGTGCCAGAGTTTATGCTTTAGCAAAATATTCTAGGCTTGCTAAAGCATGCCTGCAGTTTGTAGAATCTTGTACGGGCCGAGTGTTTTTCCACCGATGGTCGAACCAGACTTGGGAGCATGGTTACCTATGAGCATTTATATACAGTACATTCTCCATTTTTAGGGTCAATCGTTTTTTGTAGTGCGATATGATTTATTATATTGCTTTTTTCTCTTTATCAAAAGTCTTGGATTTTAGGGGGGGGGAGGGGGGGTTCAACTTGAAGCGTTAGCAACTGGCAAAGCTAGAAGGCTGTGCAGATTTTTCTCCAACTAGAGGTCAAGGATGAACTATTCCCACTGATTTCACTCCCCTAATAATGACCCGTAATTGGTTCGCTTGTTCATGAATCTTTGCTATTGGGTCACATGACATGCTAGAGGTGCAGGACTAGAACCAAACACCTTATTATAGTTTGGGCATCATTTAAAAAAAAGGGGAGTGGGGGTCTCATTGTTTCACTAGTTTCCTCGTCCATAGTACTTGTCTCATTACTTCCTGCACTCGAAAACTGAAAAGTCATAAAACCTCCACCGTGTGCCTATCTGGCAGCTATGAGCAAAATCAAGCCATTCTTGTTCGTGTCTTCAAAAGTAAAAAACACTGCAGAAATAAAAAAAAAATTGACATGCGATAGCTTAATTATGCTGACAAAGACGACAGCACAGTATGTGTATCACAGTATGTCGTAACGTCATGTGACTCGCGTCACCATGTCAGATGTCCTCATAATATTGTGTGTCACATGACATGGCGTCACATGACATTGCAGTGTCGTGTGACGACACGGCTGCATGACATGAGCTTATCTGATGTCATGGTGTCACGTGAGGTCACATGAAGTCGCAGTCCTTTGTGACAGTTCTTCGGGAGAGGGATTTTTGTGATGGTTCTTCATGATGGTTTTCTCATACAATTCGGTTGATAGACCACATTCTGCGTTAAAAAAGAAATGTGTTTTTTTTTTTCAGGTTCAAGACTTCCAGAGTGTGTATCAGTCCCGGACAATTCCGATTCCGAGGTTTCCTCAGCTGGACCAGGCATCGGTCAACTTCATCGGCCGGCTGGCCAGGGAAGTCTTGCGCATCACAGACCCAAAGTGAGTCTCATTGCCCGAAAGCCAAGAGTGTGACGTGTGCACTGCTCATCCTTGTTTCACTTCTAGAGACTCTTTCATGCATAGAGTGCAATACTGGCAAGGTTAGTAACCAGAACACACGAAAATGGAATGTTAGACTGTGTTGCATTCTTGTTGGCACAGAAGGTTCTCGATATAAAAAAAATACTGGCGTATTGAAGTGTTTTTTAGAAGAAAACTGACACTACTATTGTGAGTTTCTATCATAACCTATTGGGACGCATGGAGAACAAATTAGCTTCGCTTTGCTATCCTTGAAACGAGACCACTATATTTTGGCTAGTGGTCTAAGGGCTTGGCACTGGAAATCTTTGGGGAGTGCACCTTTTGTAGAGGTACAACTAAACCCTGCTTTTTCTTTTTTCCTTGTCAGGACCACCGTGTATGTGGACCAGTCTAATTCGTGGTTCGACAACAAGTCGCACGTCGAGATAGTCAACCTCAGCCTTTTCTCCCTTTTGCAGGTAAAACTTGGTCCTTTGCCGCGACACTTTGTCTTGCCTCGACGTGGACTGCAGCAGAGGCCACTTGGGCTACAGACGCTAGCAGGACGAGAGCGGCCGGGAGGTCTTTCGATTGTCTCATGTCTAGTGCAAGCTTCCTCGCTTTGACAACGCCTTGGCGTCTTGAGAGCTTTGAGCATGCACGCCCAGCCAGAGCAGAAGGCAACGAGCATGTGCTGGAACCTGGGTATCCAAAACGGGCGCCCTCTCGTTCCCGTCCTGTCAGTCACTGTTGTTGATGCCTTTTGCTGCAGTCCAAGTTAAGGAGCGTGGTTTTGTACAGTCTTTTCCAAGAGCGCAGAAAAACTGAGTAGTTTTTCTAAAGGTGACTGTCGTATTTATTTGAATGTAAGTTGGCATTTTTTTCCGTGTCCAAAGAATGCCAACTCGTAATAGTGAGCAAACTTTCTGACTTTATTGAGCTACCCGAGCTGCATCCCTGTGTCAGCTGCTTCTCCAAACACGCTGATGCGAGGCAGTGACGGTTAATGCGTGTGCGCCGGTTGCAAAGTGGTGAAGCCTGATGTGCGCCCGCCAGTGCAGAACGACTAAGCTCGAGGTGCGTGCACCGGCGCAAAGCGGCGAAGCTTAATGCATGTGCGACGATGCAAATTGGTGAACCACGACAGGCATGCCCTGGTGCAAAGCAGTTGGGCTTCACGCGCAAGCACTTGCGCAAAGCAGTGAAGTATGATGAAAGCAGCACAGTATGAGTGTTGCAGCAGGGGGTTCTGTTGAAAGGCATTTTATGCTTTAACAAATTGTATATCAGTGGCCTCTATTTCACAATTGAAACATTTGAAATAGCAGGTATAACATAAACACCAGCACCACTTGTTTAAAATCGAAACACTAATGCACACATAAAAAAAAGTTGAGTGATAACCGATCTTACATAATTTCGTTAGAAATTTATGGAGAACCCTGTTAAAACTTCTCCTTTTATCCAAAAATAGAAGAGCATCGGGACGCCCGGCCTGACAGGTTTGGACCGTCTGCTGTCCTTCATGATTGTCAAGGAGCTCCAGGGCATCCTAAGGTCCTTGGACAAAGGAATGGCCAAGGACAAGTCGTGGCAGGAGTTGCTCACCAATCTGTCGAGCTCACTGCAGCCGTTAGACGGCCTCGTCCGTAAGTCACCGATTTCACCCGTCGGCAGTCACTTGCAACCATCTATACTCCGTACACCCCTAATATCTGGTTCACATTCTTAAGTTTGATTAAATATAATAATGAAATATTGTTATTATTATTATCATTATTATTGCGACCAGGTACGTTGTGCAGCCTTGCGCTCCCGTGGGGGATCGCTTATGAGACTTTGGTACGCCGGCACCACCTGTGAGGTAGCCCTGGAACTGAATTTGACTAGAGTATTTTGCAACTTGCAAGCTTCATAATGACGCTTGCAAGTTGCAAAATAAGTTTTAAAACCTTAGTCTCTCATCTTTTTTTTTTTTTTGATAAATTGCCATTTTTTTACGTCCGTACGAAACAAATTGTTGAAATAGTACATTGATTTTCGAAAAATGCTTGAACACCGAAAGACGTCCACCGATTCTTTTTATAAATGAGCACCAAAAAACCTACGGCCTGTAACCCGTTCCATACTTGGTGTCCAATGCTGTCAGGGCTGCTGGCGCGAGCATGGCGTTTGATCTTTCGTATCATTGGCATGCGTTCTCGCGCAGATGCAACCGTAGAAGAAGCCATGCTCTCACGTCAGTAGCTTTGACAGCATTGTGTACGAAGTATGAAACGGAGTATAATTATAAGCCGCGCCTTGCGTTTCTTAAACTGTCATCAGGTATAGCTTATCTCGCTCGAATTGTGTGCTTCTTTGGAATTCTGTAGCCTTTAACCTGGGATCAATCTATACTTTTTTTTAGAAAACGTGGGCAGGACGTTCGGTGCAGCGCTGACGAGGGTATCAAAGACATGGTCCGTCTTCCTCGAGAGTGTGCTCAAGGTGAGCCTCAAAACGAGTAAGCTGCTTCTTTTCGATGTTCATATACAATTACTCACGTTCCGGACATCCACAAGACATTGGCTGTATTTTGTTTCTCTTTAGTCAATGGTATTCAATTCAATTCAACAATTCAATGGTATAAACATTTTGTCTCCAGGTGGGGCAGATGCAAATCCTGCGGAAGGCCATCTCGCACGAGCTCTACACGACGGCCAAGTTTGAGTCAAAGGATCTTGCCAGCGCACTGCAGACCATGAACGAGTGAGGAAACGGCAATTACATTGTCGTGTTCTGTTTCTACGAGTTGCATAGTTCATTCCGAGCCTGGTGTATCGGAAGCACTCCAATAGCTTTGTATAGTTAAGGAGTTAAGGGGGGATATGGCCTGGGAGGGTCAACTTTTGAACCCTTCACCCAATTTGGTTCAAATTTTGAGGGTTATTTCAGCACTATGAGGAAGGATAATCTGCAAAGTTTTAGCATTATTGGTCAACTTTACAGTATGCTACAGTTCTCGCACTTCAGAAAAAGGACACTTCATTAGGAAGTCTATCGTAGAAAAATAAAATTAGCTGGTGGCAAACTTTTTGCTTTAATGTGAAAAACAATACCCACAGTGCAACCTAGATAAACAATAAATTGCAAAATATTCAATTATAACAAAAATAAGAACATCCCAAAATTGGTGCCGGCGGAGACGGGTCCCTGTCTCCGCCGGCTTTTTGTTTCCGCCGTTGAGAACGCCGGCCAAAGCTACTGCGAGTGCTAACTTTGGAAGCAGGCATTTCTCGGCAGAAAAACTACCGGGAACAAAGAGGGAAAGCGAATCTAAACAGCGGCGAACTAGCAATACGATCAGAAGCGAAAGAAGCTGCCGATAGCGCTTGCAGGCGGCCAATCGTGAGCCCTGTTTCGGGTCACAAACAATGGGATTGCTGGTATCATAGTTCCCACGTTTTTTCTGCTTGTATGTACGGGGTTCTCCCGGGCCACAGATAGCCTCAAACGTAGCAAGCTTCTATGGGCAGAAACTAGAAGAAACGGCGCTTCCAACGAGGGTAAGATATCTCGGCTGCATCGAACGAGCGCGGAGTAGGCCTAATGTGAAAATGCCGAAATTCGCCATCTGCTCGCTCGGCGGGTCGCTGCGCGCGGCCGCGAGCTTGCCGAAAAAAGTTTTTTTAAATAAATACTGCGCATTTATAAATAAAACTTTCTGAAACTATGCTTCAGAATATAGTGAACTCAAACACAATATTTTTTGAAAATGCATTTTTTCGGAAAAAATAATGGAATTTCAGGGCCGTATCCCCCCTTAAGATGAGCCTGGTGAATGCTGAGGCATTGCATTCTCGTGTGAAAATGTTATCTGTGCTCTGTCGCTGAGCTTGATGTTTCGTGCACCCAGAATTCAATGTCAATCACATTTTCTGGAGTGCATAGTACCTAAACTTTCTTTTCACAAGCCACCTTCCATAAACCGCAATGCTTATAGGCCATATGCAAACTCTGCGGGGAAAATAGTCGTGCGACCCCTTGTCATGATCATGTTTAAGCAAGTGCTGCGACCAACAAGGAGTGCAGTGGTTCATCTTAATTTTTCGCACTGCACACTGCCAGCCTTCATTCGTGGCAACAACTTTTCTAATTGTATGTTATATCATAATTTTCTTCTTTTTTTTTTTTTTAACTTGAAAAAATAATTTTTTGTTTTGTTTTTTAGTTTTAAAAGGTAGTCCGAAACCAGATTTTCACAACTTCCGCGAGCTCACTTAGAGATATCCGTAGTTCTCTCTGGAAAATCATTTGAGATAAGTGATGATAAAATTTCTTGCGTCCATGGAGATCCCTTTTCAGTCGCAAAAATCTTTAAAGATAGCCAACATGCTGAGTTATCTCGTTGTGAAGGGGCTACTGTACCACCATAGCAAACTCATCTCACCTTAAACTGCTCTCTTTTTGTTTTATGATGGTTTGGTCGCACTTTATAACTCTTTTAATGCGAAAGCATTAACTGTCTCATGGAGTGAGCTGACGTCATCAGTTTGAAGCGCGAAAACGGCTCCTAGTTTCTGCAAAGATCCCAATAGGAGCGATTTGCCTTCGGTTCCATTGGCTGGCATGCATCGACGGGGCTCCCATTAACCGCTGCGCCATGGCCTCCGAGGTCCCGAAGCGCGCATGCGCTAGAACGCAGCAGACGACAAATCGAGCGGACGAGCGGCTTGCATGCTTTTGCATTCACAACTCATAAAAAATGCTTAAACCTACCTCAAGCTTTTTTTTTTTTTTTTTTTTTTTTGTGCAGCTCTAGCATTTTGAAAACTTTAACATCAACAAAATTGTGTCTATTTGAAGCCTGTGAATGAGGTGTCAAGTCTATACTCCACGACAACTTTTCTTGGCAATGCAGTGGAAGGTACAGGCCCGCGTCCCCTCTCCCATTTTGAGTGTGTGCGGGCTCTCCTCCTCTCCCCGGAAATGGGAGAGGAGGAGAGCCTTTCTTACACTCAAAATGGGAGAGGGGACGTGGGCCTGTACCTTCCACTGCATTGCCAAGAAAAGTTGTCGCGGAGTATAGTGGTCCATCTTAATTTTTGGGGGTACGCCTGTTTTACGTTGACCGGATATTCGGTTTTATTTAAGTAGGCTGGCAAAGTCTGCCTGATTGCTGTTATACAGTCAGTCTTAAGTGGCACACCAAGATCAGCTATACAATTGTAACCACAAGGAAAAATCTGTGAAAGCATGTGGTTAAGCGAGGTCTGAAGCTGACCTAAGGCTAGCTCTCGGAACCAAATTGTAAATTTCCCAAGTTTATGCCGCACCTACGTATTCGACACTACAAGATATATTTTGATGGTGGAAACTATGTGAAATGAAAATTGGAAATTTAGCATCCCTGTATTTGTCACCCCTGTGTTGTGTAGTTCAGTGCTGGCGGAAGTGAAGGCTCACTACAAGGACCCCAGCAAGCCGTATCCAAAGGAGGACAACCCTCTGCTCATGGAGCTGGCTACGTATCTGGAATGGTCGGGCATCTACAGACCCCTGGCCAAGGTGGGCAGAATTAGCATCATTCTGAAAGAATGCAGAGCGCAAGTTCGTCTGCTTTTCGCGCAGGCATTGCAATGACGTAAGAACGCCAACCTCTTATTGGCTAATTGAAAAGAATAGTATGTAGAGCTCAAAGCATCTAGCATTGAGGTCTACCCACTATCCTTTTAATCAAAGCCAATCAAAGCCCGGCGTTGTTCTAACATCGAAACAAGTCCTGTGCAAGAAGCAGACGACCTGCTCTCCGCATATGGTGATACCGAGAAACCCCTCCTGGCATGGGCAGTCATGCAGTAAAGCGGTGCTGAGGCTTGCAGACGTTGTAAACAATAATGCACATATTAGAGTGTTTGGCACATGGTTGCACATCGATGGATGGCTCATATTTTCTAAAATAGTGCCCCGACTGGAAAAGCACTGATAAAAGGAAAGTGTTGCTTTGAACACAATGTGATCATTGCTGTGCTTTACGCTTTCTGTCGCACACAATTGCAAGTCATGTAAATAAAAGAAGTTAAACTGACAATTTCTTTTCTTTTTCTATGAATTGACATAAAAGTGTACCTGAATCTGTTGAACCACATCCAAAAAGAAGTTTGAAATTATAAAGCAAGATGTAATAAAAGGTGCCTCTTCCTAAAGAACTGAATGGGCTTGCATATTATATTTTTTAGCCTTTTCGGTGTTTTGGTGGTAGATATGTGAACCTGTGGAATTAACACATTTGGGTTTGTCCTCCCCTTGGATGGTGTCAGCGAGTGATTGTGTGACTTTTCCTCTCCAAAAACTAGATTTACGTGACCACCAAGCCCATTGGGAATCTTCCGCTCTTCATGATGCTGTTCACGGTTACTCACATGACCAAATTCACTTATGTGAGCACCCTTGGTGAGTACAGGCCACACTTTCCCACATTCTTACCATCACATGTCTTCTTTTTTTTAAGCAAGGCTCATAGTACACACTTGCCTTTCTGCTTTTTAAAATATAATTTTGTTTCTTGCGTGAACTTGCGCTGAAGCTACAATGCGATACAAGACATTTAGGGTTTGGCAAAACAAAGGCCAATAGAACCAACATTAACTTCCATCTAGACTGTGCATATTTGACAGACTGCAAATGTAGGGTCACGCTAAATGGTACAGCTCAATTATGACAACATAATGGATTTCAATCAAACTCTACCTGAGTGTGATTATGCAATCGTTCCTAAGGGGCCGAGGAAGCACACAATTGGGCCAGGTTGAAATTGGAACTAGCGAGCATTTTGCCTACAGAGGCTACCACCCTCCAGCACCATGATTCAGATTGCCAAAGCCTATGCTACATGTATACATTACCACACAATAAAATTTCCTGTTGAAAAAAAAAAAGGACATGGCAAACAATACTGTACTTAATTTTTTTGTACACTGTTGCACACAACAATCAGAATTGCCAGAAGAAGTGCGTGAGCTAGTGTGTAGTGTACGATTTGACAGCATACCGCTTTAATGAGTCAGTTAGTTAACGAGATTGCTGCCCTCTCTCGTTTTCAAGGTGGCCTGGTGAGCAAGAAAGGGGTGGAGTCGATAGACGGGCTTCCGTTTGTCCTGGGGTCCTTCACGTTCCTCAAGCAGTTCCACCAGGACAACACGGAGCAATTCCTCGCCTACCTGGGCCAGTATGTTCGATCCCTGCTGGACCAGGGAACGGTCAGGTCAGTAAAGAAGCTCTGACGCTACGATCGTTCATCTCATTGAACGTAGGCGTGTGGAGCCTACTCGAGCAATCGGGAAATGTGCCTTAACGCCGGTTCGCACTAAGTGGGTGCAACCGCTTGTAAAAGCCACTTACTACGAGAAGACTGTTTTGGCAGCATCTATCCGGTATGCCTGGAGCACTTCAGTTCTATGCATCTTTCTTCATTTTTATGCATCATTATTTCATAGTCGGCTTGAAATAATCATGGCAATGTTATCAGCGACCATCTCCCATAGATATAATAAGTAGCTTTCATCTCGCCAATGCTGCAAAACCTTATACGCATATAGGATGTGTTGCATGCTTGTCTGATAGGTGGCGACAGTTTACAGGTGTGTTTGCGGTCATGAGCGGCTACAAGCCAGTGGCATCACTAGGGAGGTGCAGGGGGGGGGGGAGAGGGGGAGGGAGGGAGGGGGCGAGGGGGAGGGGGTGGCGGGGCGTTTGAGGCGGGCCATTGATACTGGCAGTTGCGACGCAGTTGACCATGCTCAAACACATATCTGTGGACCAGCCTTTAATCTGTGTGCCTCTATCTTGGGGTGGTGACATCGGGCCGCTTTGTATCTATACTCTGTTTCACGATAATTTGGCTGATTGTGGGGGCTACAGTCCCCGCAACCCGATAAGAGCATCGGAGTGAGGCATGTGACACCACATCACTGGAGCGTGTACTATGTCTCTGCGCCAAGCAACCGGCTGTCGTCTGCTGTCCAAGAATCGTCTGCTGCAAAACCAACCAACTACAAATGAACATCCACCACCGCAACATTGCCGTCTGCTAGAGTTGCTAACTCTTTGGGAACATTTCATGAAATAACAGTGCGCTCAATTTACCCACAAATCTGTGCTGGGTACTAATGCCAGGGCCATGTTTTGAGCAGAAGTGGTGGATTACACGGCTGCGATCACCAATGGCCACGACGCTACAAAGAGAAAAATATCAAGAGCAGATACGGATGTGACTTCTCTTCTTTGGTTTAAATATAATTGAAACTCATAAATTCGGCAATACTTATTCCCCATTTTTTTATATTCTCGACAGAGAAGGGGGAAGCACGCGAGTTCAGTTGCCATTAAAAGAAAAAGAAACCTAGAGCTAGTTTTTTTTGTCGCGGACGGCGCTGTTGCTGTGGCAGTAACGAGGTTTTGGTGACCTCAGCCATGGACTGTTATTACGTGACTTTCTCCGACACTCTTATTGGGTTGCGGAGGCCTCCACAGTTTGCCAAGTCATCGTGAAACAAATTATAGAACCTTCTTTCCTTTCTTTGGACGTGACGTGAAGGTATTTCCGGGTTTGAACTCTGCTACGCCGTTACCCTTGCTGCCGCGATATTTGGTGTCCCGATATTTTTTTTTTTACTTTCCTCGCAATCTCGTGGCGTCGGGTCTTGCTAAGAGGGACGTCACCCTAAGAAGAAGAACATTGAGACACCCTAGGTTGAGGTATTATCGAAAGAGCATTGTCCAACATACATGTACTATATATTGTTTCAGCTTACGTCAAGATGCAGACGACGCTAATGGGACCAATTGAACAACATGAAAAGAAGTCACTAAGACTTTTCTCTTTGATTGCTAAAGCAATGATAGTGCACATAAAGAAACATGACGAACACCATGGTGACGTGGTTTTGGTGCTGTCTGATTGGTCCCGTCAGCTTCTAGCGTCGACTACATCTGGGCTTAAGATGAAACGATGTATAACCAACCTGAACTGGGCAAAGTTCCGTTTATGGAAGCTAGGATTGAATGCTTGAGTATATGTGCGACTTGCTCGTGCAACAAGGTGCTGTTAAAATGCCACTGGGGGAAATCCCGCACCGGTAGCGGGCATTGGGTTAAAAGGCTAGGCTTCTTCGGAGGCTTTTGAAAGTTTGTGGAAGCATTGTTGAGAGTCGTACGACGTGACACGGTGCCATGACGTGCAACATCGCAACGTACCAAATCATTTGCAGCACTACCAGGTTTGCAGAGGCATCCGCAGAAACAACCAACATTATGGCGTACCTCGAGATCCTCGTTCAACACAGTGAGCTTCCTCGCAAGGTAACCCAACTTTTGAAAGTCAAACTTAGACTTGCACCTGAGCTACCTACTATGTACAGTGCAATCCACTTATAATGATAACGCATATATCAATGTACTGCTTATAATGATCAGTTTCTAGAGTTATAGACTAAATATGCTTATTCTCTAGTCCAGATACAGTGATAATCGGTTATGAGGATTGAATTTTCGAGTTTCCTCATTATTGTTATAAGTGGATTGCACTCTAGTACCATGATTTATTTTTTAACTTGCAGACGGCACTGCAATGAGCACTACTTCTTTTGTGCTGTGATAAACAGCAGAGTGAGTGATGTAAAGGGATTCAGCATCCGACAATGTATCATACTCTGAACAGTAAGGATACAGGGAGATGGATACAAACATGATCCTATTAGGACAGGAATTGGGGATAGTACTATATTGTGGTCGTGCCTTTAATAAATTCAGAAAAATCCTGAATTATTCAGAAAGACTCGTAACAATCAGGCTCGAGGATTCTTTCACATCTGAACCATCTGTGAACGTTGCACTGACAAAAATTCATTGGTGGAAGGCTGTAGAGCATAAGTGTTAGTGTTTATGAGGAATCTAGAATTTGTTTGAATTCATTAGAAACACAATGAAATGCAGGATTCCTGATTTTCAAATTTCACTCGTATGAGGTTTGTACGTGGAAGCCTTACAGAGCTCAATTGTTGTAGTCTTTATGAAAAAAAATTCTGAATATTTTTTTTCTATATTTTGTTTCTAGATGGTCACCAACCACATTCCAGACTATCTCTTCGACCGGTTCAGGACCGTCCTGTAAAATATATAATTTTGTATAAAATTTTTGTTTTTCAAATCATTCCTGCAAAGAAAACTTGTGGCGTACTAGTTCTGCTCTGAGCAGTTACACCGGCGACTGGTTTGTACGAAGCACACAGCTCCGGATGATTGCTTTTGTCGTACGTAGTAGTATTCACAGCTGTACAATAAAAGTGCTGCGTGTTTTCTTTTTGCTGCATTTTATGTCAGTTTTTCTTTATTTCAACTGTTTCATTCTACTTAGACTGTTCGTATGTAGCAGGTAAGTCACATTATGATATCTTTGCTGCTTTGTCTGGTACCAAAGGCCCTGGATATCTTCAGCCTTTTTGTGGTGCTGCAGCTCTTCTGGGAATATTAATATGACTGCTTTGTTTCATCACATGTCAAAACTGCTGATGCTATGTGCGGAGAGGGCCAACCAAACAGTGCCCAAAGTGCAACATTGCAGTGTTCACGGCCTTTCTGTTCACGTTTTATTGCCAGCTATACGTTCAAGGGCAGAGTGCACCATGACTTTGCTTTTTTTAAATTTATTTCGTAGCCTTTGAAAGTGCTCCAAAGTATGGTCAAACGAAGTATAATATACTTTTACAATATTTTTTTACTTGCGACCTTTCCTGCCTCAATATGCACGCATACCGTAAAATCCCGAGCAAGAGCTTGCACAAAATTTTGATCATATAAAGCTGGGGTGCTCCTTAGGTCAACAATATGTAAAGGTGTATTGTGTATTTTCTGAATTTTACAAAACTGAGGGGTTGATTGTGGAATGGGTGGATGCTCAGAATCATACAATATACGATGCAGAAATACTAATTACTGCAAGGTGGCATTGCAGCTGTGTAAAACAAAGGCACTAAAGAAAGAAGACGGAGCCCAAGTCAAATCTTGAGCGTACTATAAGAGAAAATCACACGAAAAGATTGCAAAAACCCAGAAAGTTTATCCTTGAACTTCGATGCTGGCATGCTCTCAAGTTCTTCAATCACCAATGTTTGCTCAAGCAGCTGGCCCTAAGGGTGTCTAGGACAGGGACCTAAAAGACACCCTTAAAGTTGGCAGACTCCTTCCAGAAGGAGCCGTCAGGAAACCTGAACTTTTCGATGGACGAAGGGAGCATCTCGCAACTGTACCCAGGAGCCTGAAATGACAAAACAGTTGTTGTAATGGGATCCCTGAGGACGGTTTGTGTGATTGAAGCTTTGAGAACAATTGGTGAAATCGAAAACTTGAGTACAAAACTAGTGAAATATTGAAACAGTGATTGGTGCATTTGAAACCCTGAAAACAATTGAGGTCCTTGTACCCTGAGAACAGTAGGTTGGTTGAAACCCTAAAAACAAGGTATGTAATTGAAAGCCTGAGAAGGATTTGTGTAGCTAAAACCCTTGGAATGATTTTTATCATTTAAACCCAGAGAACAATTGGTAAATTTAAACCCTGAAAACTATTTCTGTGATTGAAACCCTGAGAATGATTGACAAAATTGAAACTAGAACAATTGATATAATTAAAACTTAAAACGATTGGTTCTTTTTTGATTGGGGAACCCCAGTGTTTAACTCGGTTACTTCTTTTACATGATTATGTATAACGTCAGATCCACGTTTATTTAAGGCGTGGCAGAAGTTTTTAATTCGGAGTACGTAGCTCTGGCTAAAAAGAGTTTATTGGTTTCTAAATTATGTTAATGCACGGTTAACTTAATTGTGGGCTGGTAAACTGAATAAAAACGGAAATTTTGGCTTTAAGCAGTCTTTTGACATAAGTACCCAAACATAATCCACAGACATGACGTTCTCGGGCTTACATGGGGTGGCATATATCGGCCATTCTTCACGATCACCGGTGTCTTGAAGTGCTCGTGCAGCTGGTTGACATATTCAATTTCCCTGAAGGACATGAAAAAGACATGACTTTGAAAATACAGAGATAAAGATTGGGCAATTATTAAGGCTAGATTAGTATAGCTGGATGGGGACATAGCTCATCAGGGCCATAACTTGTTTTATTTACTTGGTTCTGGTTGTCGAAGACACTGATACGCCATGCTTTAAACATAGGAATTTAATGTTGCTGAATAGTCGCTTCCACATTCATGTAGACAGTGTGTTTCACCAAAACTGATAATCATTAAAAAATATATGTACTTTAGATAAAAAAAAAGGATTCCTTCACGATACTGTTATTCTGATAAGTAGCGATTTAGTTACCTAATTTACTGAATCACTCTTGAAATATTTGCCTTAGCCGACACATTCGAATTTGAGACTCGGTGCCCATCGTGGAATATGCCACAGCTGTTAGAATGTAGACAACTAAAGTTTGCTCCGTGCTGTTTGGCGAATTTAGTTAGAAGACTGAGACACCGAAACCAACATGCAAAAAGGCGACGGATGTCCTAATTAGAAGTGACGTCGGCCTTCGTGGTGGGCGTGAATAGCAGTCATCACGAGCCGTGTGGTCGCAGAAAAGGCGCGCCCTACTCTATCTCCTCGGGCACACAGTTTTCGTTTTTGTGGTTTCGTTATGGCGGACTTTTCTAACTTCACCACTAAATAGTGCGAAGAAGATTTTAGTTTTTGACGGGCAACAAACACACTTCTAATTGGAATATGGCAGATAAGGCTAGATAAGGTGATCATTTAAAAAGTCATTTGTATATTTTCTGTAATTAGATTCCTGAATATCACTTTTCATTCGCATCAAGCGCGGTCAGCAGCATTATCCCGGATAAATCATTTGTTTATTACAAATGCCCCCCCCCCCCCCCCCCTGTTTTTAATGGACTTTTATCTATAAGGGTTCTGCGCATGCACGGCCCTCCCCACGCAGCGGCAAAGGCTCGGACTACGGTTGGTGTCCCGGAGGGGAGTTGTGCTACATATCTTGCCAGTTGCGGAGGAAGCGCACATTAATTTGAGTGGTAATGCAACTTCCTCTCGGGCACTTCGAACTTCCGCCACTTGGTGTCTAGCGTTCGATTTACCGACACCTGCATGGGCAAGTGTAGGGCGGTGTATACTTCCGGTCGTATCTGGATACACATACCGGAAGTAGACTGTCCTACAGTTTTCTGCACCTCTGTAGGAGGTGTAGGTAAATCGAACGCAGCGTCTATTGCACCGAACTTGGTGCAATAAATACGTCTTATATCTCTGTCTCTCTCTTTGTGTCGGTAAAGGTCTATTATTTTGTGTTTTGTGAGACACTTTGTGTGTAGCACAGCTGGTTCAGAAATGCCAGCTCACCTATTGTCCATCGTGCCAGACACAGAAATGTAGTCCCAGAAGGAAAGGTGCTGCACAAGCTCGCACAGGCCGACGCCTCCGGCGTGCGGGCACACGGGAACTGTCGAGGAAAGACGAGACGTTGTTTGATAACGGGCCATTCCCACTGCCCAATGAGGCCAATAAGCCGGGCGTGTGGAGTGATAAAGTATGTTTCAACGTTAACAGCAGTTTCGTTTGTAGAGCTATTTAACTTGAGCTTAGAAGAAAGACTCCTTGGTCATATTAAGTTTCTGTCATGTTAAAATTTGTATGCTTCTCCACCTTTTTTTTTTTTTGTCTAATTCTTGGAATTTTGTCGTGGACCCATAATCGTTCGCCTGCCTTATGGTGCTAGCTTCATTAGCTGCATGGCCATATTGTTAACGAGTTGTAATCATTTCTCACCTCAGTGGCAGATCGACCTAATGCTATCTAATCGCCCGCCTTCTTTTTCTTTTTTTTTTTTAATCCGGTAGCATTTGTTCGGCACCCTCCCCTGAAAAATTCTTATCTGTAACACGAGACGAATGCACATGTGCGGGAGGGTGATAAGTGGAGAAGAAAGAACAAAATTCCGAAGGTCGAAGAAAAATTGATCTCAGGTCCCTCAAAGATTTTGAGCCCCACGTTCAACCACTGTGCCAATGGGGAGACTTGTGAAGCGATGGTTATTATGAGATGCGCGGGTTGCGGGACGAGGCTTTCATTGGACTCTGTCTTCACGATGCCTCGCCAGAGGAAGGGGCAGACTGAAGAAGAGGTGGCTGACGCAAGCAGCGCCGTGCTGAGTATGACCATCTCAGTTATTGAATGGACAGATGCGGGTATTTGAGGCTTAGTTGCCCACAGTAGGGTCTGTTGCAATTCAATCGGCGGACTATACCCTCCATAGAAGACTAGCAATGCTATCCCAGTTGAAAATTCTCATTAAGTTCCAATTGGAATTTTCTTATTGGTACCAATTGGGTTTTTGGACAACCAATTGGTCACTGCCAATGGAAACCATTTGGAACCTATTCAGGTTCCAACTGAAAAAATAATTCCAATTGGTGGGACCCATTGGCCTGTGCTTCCAGTTGGAACCCACTAAAACCAGTTGGAATTCCAATTGGATTTAATGGGAATTTTTAGCTGGGATCGCATTCTGCTGCAGAAACTCGAGCCTATGGCAAGGGCTCCGTGGATTCTTTCATGTGCGTCAACAAAAACTCTTTGTCGTCGTTCCAAGCGGTTGCGTGCTTAGTTTCCTTCTGCTCTCCCGGGGTGGCGGTCCCGTCGCGCGTGTCTAGTTTCCTCCGGCTTCTCGAGGCGGCGATAGTTTGTACCTTTCAGGGGGTGGAAGTGCTGCGCCAATGCACTTTTGCTGCGCCATCCTGCTCCGCGCACATGTTGCGCCAAAACTAGCCAAACAAGTTTTTTTAAGGCTATATTTATTAAAGTATTTTTTTTTTATTGGCCACAGTGGTTTACCGTGTTGTGTTTGTTTAGGTAATTCTGAAAAAAAAAAAAAAAGAACTTTTAGCAAACTGTTGCCGCGTACCGCGCTCTATACCGGGGCCTTTGATGCATACAGTGACCGCGGGGCGCGCGCTTAAAAGCATGCTTTTAAGCATGCTTAAAAGTGTGCTATAAAAAATAAACATTTATTATAGCATGCATAAAAACATGCTATAAAAATAAACATTTGGCATAATATATATTTATTTTTGCATGTTTGGGGTGTTTTTGCCGAGACTGCTTCCGCGTTCCTCATTCGTGTCGTAAACGTAACATATAAAAGCGATAATTGGTTGCCTCGATTATCTGTAGAGTTTCTTGTAAATGACGTACGTGCCGAATACAGCAAGCCGGCGGGAGGACGGGGAGAACAGTGGGAATGCTCTGCTGAGCGAAGCAAATTCTAAACCGTTGTGCTGAACGCATCCAAGCAATGCGGAGAGCGAGTCGTCTGCTTCTTGCATAGGAGATGCGGTGACTTGAAAACGACGCCTAGCTTCGATTGGTTTTGATCGAAATGATAGTGGGTAGACCTCAATGCTAAGTTCCTTGAGATATATCCACTATTTTTTTTTAATCAGCCAACAAGAGCTCAGCGTTTGGACGTCACGCAATTAACCCCTGTGCGAGAAACAGACAAACTTACACTCCGCGTTGACCTAAGGAAAACCTTCTTTTTAATGGTCTTACTTGCTAGTTTTGGTAGTCAATTTTTTTATTAAACTCCTAATCAAGCTTTCTTGTTTCTATTTAGTCAGTGATGCCTGTCTTAGTAAGGGTTAATTAAGTGTGTATGTATGAGCAGGAATGGTATAGGTGGAGTCATGAAGTTTTCAATATTTTTCATTTGTACTTTTATAATGTAGGGTAGATTTGTACTCTGTTGAGTATTGGAATACTTTTGATTTGTACTCTGCTCAGAGTTTTGGAACGCTTTCTTTTTTTTTTTTGCCAAACATGGACTTGAAACATTTGTATTTCTTAATGGTGAACTGTAGTCGGAACTGGACTTTATTTCATAGCTTGAAACGGTCTTGTTTTTAGCTTATGGAACGTGCAATTTACGTTGTTAAACAGTGAAAATGTCTTGTTTTCATGAGGCTTAAGTTGTTTTTCTTTAGTTGCCTATGCCTACTATTGTAAATCCATGAGAGGAACCAACCCGCTACCACCAGGACGGTTCTCAATGGCAGCCATTCAAATATAGTTTTTGCTATGGGCTGGAATATAATTAAGGAAAGGTCATATTTGGAAATGGTTCTGGATCGTCATTTATTTATATATATATTATTTATATTTCTTTTTGTATTTCGAAAAAACACATCTGTGCTTATAGCACCAAGCAGCTCCAAGATTTGCTTATAGTGCTACGAAACTCGATTTTTTGTTGCTCCTGAGCTGCTCCAAAGCTGAACTTTTACTGCTCCAAAGCTGCTCCCAGACCTGCTCCAAAAGGCTGAAGTTTGTTTCCACCCCTGACCTTTGTTCAAAATTCTGTGTCGTTTACTAAACAGCTTCGCTGGTTATCCACCTTCACAGAGTAGAATGGCTCATTATTTTTTGTTACCGATCATGCGTGCGATACGCGTGGGGCCGTCACCTTTGCACTTTTCGGCCATGAGGATAACGGCGAGGTTCTCGTTGACGCCTCCGAGGCGACAGCTGTCGATCTGGCAGAACTGCAGAGCCCCCGCCTGGAGGAACTGCTTGAACATGACCCGGTTCTGGCACTGCTCCCCCGTAGCCACTCCGATGCCCAACGGAGCGAGCGCCTGTCAGAAATTATCAACGTATACATGGTGTCCCACTTCTTCACATTGCAGTGCTTCGACCACGTCCTAGACACAGTACGTGGACCAGTGGCCAGGAATTTGGTGTGGATTGGCGCGACGTAATATACGATGTTCCAGAATCCTCAAGCCGCGGTGCTTGTATACATCGTACTAAAGCGTGATAAACGATAGATATGCTCAACGTCTCTTTCGGCGGTACGTCGTTGGCTAGCACCAGGTGCTCTTTCGGCCATGAGAGCTGTCGTTTGTGATTGGCACAAGTAAGCGTAGCGCCAATCCAGTGCGTCTCTCCCTCGCCTGTACTCGGCGATCCATCTCTGATCGCGTTTTAAAATGTAAGCGATGCGACGTATACATCTTTGAGTATGTTGATGGTTTGTGATTTGCTCTTGAGGAGTGACTCGGCGAACCTGCCTGTTCTGTACGTTAGTACTTGCTAATAATTCCTGCCAGAGCAAAAGCAGAAAAGCTGCAGTTTCCCAAAACTAACCCGTTATATTCAACTTGCATCGTGAAACTAGGAGATCGTTTTGAATTAGTCAAACACGAGCAATATAGGTGGCAAATAAATACGGAAGAAAACCTTCGAAATGGTGGCGTGACCCAGAATGTCGTCCGGCGACGTCGGTTCCTCGATCCAGTGGATTCGGTAGTCGGATAGCTCCTTCATCCAGTAAATCGCCTCCTTGACGTCCCAGCACTGATTGGCGTCAACCATCTGCAACACCGTAGTCGTGCCTCGGTTCATTCAGTAAATAGCTCTAGGAAATCACGCGAGCGGCGAAACTATTAGCTGAATCCGGTTCGAAAATGTTGGTATAGCTCTCGTTTTTATTACAGCGAAGCTGTTATGTGCTAACCCGTTTAAACGGCACTCCTTCGTTCCTATTGGTCGTGGCAAGTATAAATAAAAAGAGCGGGAAACCCGCGTGAGTCAGCCTTCCTTGGCATTATTCGATAGTGATGTTATCATCTACGGTCATCGACTTATCTCAGCTAAGACTGATCTCAGCTGAGGGCAGAACGCGCCCATCTAACCTTGTTTTCTTTCGCTTTCGCGATGCTGGTAAAAAGACTTGGGCTCGAGCGAAAAAAAAAAAAAAAAAAGAAGCATTAAACAACGAAGTCGTGTACTTGTCTTCATTGCAATCATATGCAAATCGTATAGTTGTCGTAAAGATAACAGCTTTTTTGCTGGTCCCCCATCTTTACGTGAAGTGGATGGGCTCTACAATTTTTTATATACAAAGACAGGTCGTCCGGATCCTTTGTAAGTTTCATGCAAATGCATTCAAACCAGGTTTGTCAGTACACAATTCCAAACTTATCCCCGCGATTTTCTCGTCTCTCCACCTCCTTGGCCACTTTCGTCTTCCTGCGGCTTCCGATTTTAGAGGGAACTTCACGAGAAGTTTGCACAAAGGAGTTCCCCGCTATCACGTGACCAATGGAAAAGAATTGAACGTGTGGCGAAGAGGATTCACAGCCCAGAAATATTTTGCAGCAACACCGGATGCCTAGCTGTCCGAACAGCTAAGACACGCTTCCTGCTGTGCTCGCAAAAAAAAAAAAAAAAAAAGAAGCGCGTTGCTATGTTTGTTTGCTGGGCTGTGGAACGCCTTCCAAGCATGCGCTGTTGATCTGCTGTGCGGTATATCGGACGCTGCGCATGCGGCCACAGCTCAGTGACTCAGCATTTCGAGACCGCCGCTGGAAAGGTCTATATGCTGCACACATTTCCGTAGAACTATGTGTGGGTGGCACAAGAAATGAAAGGGGGTTAGTCCTAGACAAGCGAGAAAGTCGCGTGAACTGCCCGTGCCGCAGAGTACGCGAGCTCGCGTACTGAAAGAAGATTGTGAAATCACTGCTGTCGGCGTTTCCTTCTTGCGCAGGGGTTGTGGTGACGTCAGAACGACGCCGAGCTCTGATTGGCTTTGATTGAAAAGATAGGGGGTAGACCTCAATCCTAGATGCCTCGAGGTCAACCCGCTATTTTTTTCCAATCAGCCAATAAGAGCTCGACGTTCTGACATCATTGCAACCCCGTGCAAGAAGCAGATGAAGTTGCGCTCCGCATTCGAACAGACAGGAGCGCGTCGCGTTGAAACGAGCAGGCGAGCAAGGCAGCAGATAAGAAACGACGCAAGGCAGCAGGCGGCGCGGCCTTCAGGGAGCGCGACGACGCTCCGATGTTATCTGCGAGACACCGCTTCCGCGACATCGACTTTCCAACTTTGCACGCCCCGCCCCGCCCCCCCCCCCCCCCCCCCCCCCCCCCCCCCCCCCAAGCGCGTAGAAAGACCTAGTTCTACGTTAAAGGTTAACGTTTCGGGGCGCACGTGCGTTTCCGACATCAGAAAAAAAGCCGGTCCGTATCGTGGTTGATGTCCTCACTCAAAACCAAGTCGCACGCGCCGAAACGTTCTTTTTTATCAGTGCACAGCAGAAGGCGCGTGTCCTGTTTCGACAGACTAGTGCCACTAAAGAAGCTGCGCTTCAGAGTAACGCTTAAAATCATGGTTGCCAGTTATCCGAAGCTTTATCTGAAATCACAGGAAACGTTTTTCTGCCCTCCACAAATCTTTAAACAGTTCGCGACAGAGCAAAGTAATATTACGTGAGCTTCCTAACACCGAATCTACTACTGAAGAGGTCGCACTTTTGAATCATGACGATTGGCAGTTGCGTCTGCTCTGCAAAAGCACCAAAATGGCGGCGCCAACAACAATGTCGGGGAACAGAGTGCCGAATCTCTAAGCGCAGCTCATTTAGTGGCTCTAGGAGAGACCTTCTTCGACAACTCTCGTTAGCAGCCACCTGAAAGGCATATCCTGTATGGGCGGCGAAAAAATAATAAAACATTTCAACCTGTATATAGTATAAAAAGAGTATGTGCTAAACGAGAATGTGCAGCGGTTAAGCGCCGTTCACACTCTTGCGACCGAGTAAGACCAGACCGGTTTTTAAGCCTTCTGCGACTTCTTAGGACAGGATGCGCAGCAGCGGAGCTGGTCCTAAGAGATCGCAAAAGGCTTAAAAACCGGTCTGGTCTCTCTCGGTCTTACTCAGGCGCAAGAGAGTGAACGGGCCTTTACGCTTACACCCTAAATGTCTATTATTGCCGTGGCGACGGCAAAGCAATGTTTTCGCCCGTACCGGAAATTACGATATTTCAAAATGGAGGCGCCCTCGTGAGAAAGGTCAACCGTCGCGCCCCTAGTGGCTAATAGACATTTGCTATATCCCCCAAGTGCCCCGGCCCGCGCTCAAAGAATTATGGGAGCGGTGTTCCTTCAGCCCCTTAGTGATCGGTAATTTCGACCCTATTTTTGGTTACACGGGTTTTGAGCGCCTGATACCCCAATGACCTGTTATATCGCTTTTAAAATGTCTCCTCAATGTCAGCGTTTTTGGTACTGTACATGCTGTCTACCCTTCAACCCGGATCGGCTGCAGAAATCTCTTACATTATTATCATGCTGATATTAAGTTAGAAACGCTAAAAATGCTATAAACAGTCCCGAGGACTCCGATCTAAATCCTGGTTTATGTTGTTGTGAATTATCGGCTTTTTAAGCAATTCCTGCTCAAACAACAATCACGAGAATGATAATATTCAAGATTTCTGCAGCTCAGCCAGGTTGAAAGGTGGTTCGCAAGCGCAGTATGAAAAATACTGACGTTGACGAGCAATTTTAGTGATGCGACAGATCCTCGGGTTATATCAGCTGCTTGTTCAAGGTGACCTCGAATTACGCTCAAAAACTGTGTAACCGTGGAGTTGGTCCAAAATCAGCGATCACTAGGGAGCTGAAGGAACACCGTTCCCATGATTGCGGAGCGCAAGTTTGCTTCTTGCACACAAGTTGCGATGATGTCAGAACGCCATTACTCTAATCCCTCCCAATCCCTCCTATCCCCGAACGCCACCTGTGGGAGCTAACAACTCGTCCTCCGTGGCAAGTCCTGTATGTTTCGGAACTTGGAGCTTATACCCAGAGAGGAGAAAATATATCCTTTCTCAGTGTACGCCTCTCCTCAAACACCAAGTAGTTTGAAAAGCAGTGCCTGCGTGATGTTCCGTATAGAATAAATCCACATCTTGGTTTTGCAATAAGTATGATTGAACAGATGCACGAAGTTTCGGTTACCAGCTTGCACTTGTCACCAATGGTGGAGCGGACGACTTGAAGCCGTCGCTTGTCGTCCAGCAGATTTTGTCCCACTTTGACCTTGAAACTGAAGGGAAAGTCAAGCGATTTCGTCTCCGTTCGCTCGATCTGTGTACACGTACCTCGTGAAACCTTCGCTTTGAGCGTCGCGACAGAGCTGAAAACAAACCGTGGCATTCGTTTAGGAAAGTCTGCAATTCAAAGGTAAATACGGAAAGAAAAACAACCAGCTTAGTTATTTTGACAGTGTGCAAGTTCAGGTATGTTTTAAGAATCAGTCATTAAAGGTCTATCATAGTCGCCCCATTAATTCGGCTTATTACGTTTCGGGTTCGGCTCCCAGAAGATTCCACCATTCGGTTCCAAATCGCATGACGCGGTTCGCGCGTTTCTTTTCGACAGGGATGTACGGGAAGGAAGTGGAGAAGGAAGCGCGCGAAAAGGATTTCGAGAACACTTGCCTTTTTTATTTTCTCATCCCCGTAGCCGATCCAGCCGCATGCAGTGGTGTAAGCGGGGTAGCCATTAGTTGTCAACTCACGTTCTGCAGGAATTTATACATGTGCCTTTTGAACATATATATACCAACTTTCATACGCGTAATTGAGTTGATCCTACCTCGTTGGGCCCTGGTGCTTTTCTTCTTTTGTAGAATTTCTAAAGCGGAACAGTGGAGGGAAAGATCATTGATTTCTATGGACTTAAGAATGATCTCGTCCAATATTAAAGTATGTTGCATGTGTACCTATTGCTTCCTCCCTGGTAAGTATGTCCGACCTGAAAATTATTACGGTTTCATTGCCGTGTTCAGAAACGGTAAAATCGGATTAAATCCGTTTTGCTTCAAGACACTCACAAGTATCTGAAATCGATGAGGGACACAATTTCTTCGGGGTCCTTGGGAAAAAAAAAGTTGTTTTACCAAGATTTTTTTTTAATCAGCTGCCTTTTTAGCAGCGAACGTAGTGAGGCATTTTTAACATGCCTCGAATACCTTTACGATGTAAATAACGAAGTTTGAAGTGGGAAAGTAGAATAGAAAGTTATACCTTGTCATAGATATTCGGATGCCAATATAATCGTTTCATTCATATAGAAGACACATCCCATTCTATATTATAGATATAGTACATTATATTATTACACAACCCATTCTATATTATAGATATAGTACATTATTTTATTACAAATCCGATTCTATATTATATATCAGGGGTGGCCAAACCGCGGCTCGCGAGCCGCATGCGGCTCTTTGCTGTTCCAAGTGCGGCTCGCGGATCCCTCCTAAGGGGACCCCCCCCCCCCCCTCTCCCTCCCGCCCCTTTCCGCGTTTCCCCAGGAAAAAAAAGAAAGAAAGGATTTCACAATAAAGCACAGTTGCGGTTTTGCAGCCTTGTACCCGCATATGTAGAGTCGTACAGCCTTGTGCCCCCATACGTAAAGTCAGACTTTGAACAATAATTAAGTTTGCGGCCCCCCCCCCCCCCCCCCCCTTTGCGGCTCTTAGAAGTTTCGTGGTCTTGTTTGCGGCTCTTAGGCCGGGTCAGCCTGGCCACCGCTGTTATATATATAGGCATAACATTATGTTATTAGATATCGGACTCCAAATGACCCTAACCAACCGAATCATCATAGCATACAAGGCTATAGGATAGGCGCGGTACAATAATCTAACGAAGCCATTACAGCCTCCCCCATTCCCGAATCGCGGTGAGTCTACACGCAGACATTAGGCTAAATGTATGCGTGAGAAATCTGCCGAGTCACGTTTACCATGTCTGCCAAGAGCTTCCAGACCGGTTTGCCTCGAATCTTTCCCCAGAGATCCCAGAGGGCGTTGACGACGGCCGCGGTGGCCAAGTGGATGACGCCTTTTTCTGGACCCACCTGGAATGTGTCGGGTGTCACAGCAGTGAGTCTACAGAGAAGGAAATGCTAACGATATATAACAGCACAGTGAATGCGCGCCCTGGCTAGACACCAACGCGCATCTATACACCTTTCCAAAAAACACTCGACCCCAGGGGCAACAAACCGTTTCCGAGCCCAGTCACTGAGTTTGAGGCTAGACTCTCACCGGCGTCCCTCCTAACCCTAACCGAGGGGACTGTGATTTCAACAGGCGCAGCCTGCGTAGGCGCAGTTTCAAACGCTGCTGGCGGCTAAATTCTGGTATTTTCCCGCTATATTTTGTGTTTCATGGCACATGTATGTTCCCGAGGACATTGAGAAAGCATTGTGCCACATTTGAAAAACAAAAAAAGCAAAAAAAAAAGCTGTAAACTATTTTTGTTGGGACCGCGCGCTACAGAACGAATGAGGCTGGAATGTTTAGTTCTAGTTATTTTTTTTCTTAGGATAAGTTTTGACGGCGCCGCGGGATTCGCCGCATGTGAAACGACAAAGCGCTTTGCTGTCAAAAATAAATTGCAACAGAAGAGGGCCGAAAGGCATGCATTCTTCACGCTTACAAAGAACGTGTTTACCGATGGGCAGGACACGGACATACAATTGAGGAAGTGTTAACATCCGAACAATATATCGTACGTACCGACGATGCAGCGTTATCCGAAACGAATTTATTTGAGAAAGATCTCAAATAACACAGACACAGTCGACGACAGTCACATCTTGACGATCGGACGGAATCCGAGATGACTTCGTTTTGGGGCACGTTTTGGGGAGAGCTTCCTTTTTTCACAACCGCACCAAGGCAAAGAAACAAACGCGACTGACCCGTTTCTCACCCCAACCCGGACAACTATTTTTGGAGATGACTGAGGATTCTACGCGGATTATCTCTGGGAGGGGGGAGAACAATTATCGCAAAATCGCGTCGAGGGTCGTTTGACGTCCTTCACCTCCTTCGTTTCCCGTGAATGTCGAGCAGAAAAGCTTGAATGGCAGGCACTTACCAGCCTTCTTTCTCACAATGGAAGATAACACAAAAAGGGTACGCAGCACGCATAAAAAAAAATTAAGAAACTTTCAAAAGGGGCGAGAAAACGTCGAATGCAAAACCGCAAAAACGTAGGTAGAGAACCGCGCTGAGCGGGTCTTCACAGTCCCAGAGAGTGGCAGAAAATTTCTAGCTGATAGAGGGCGCGAGAGTCGCACCAGTCGCATCAGCATCAGCAACATGGCGGCGGCCTAGGAGCGTTTTTTGGAAAGGTGTATACGGAGCTCATGTTCGTCTGCTTCTTTAGCGGGGGTTGCGGTGACGTCAGAACGCCGGGCTCTGATTGGCTCTGATTGAGGGATAGCGAGTATTGGACGAAAAAGAGAGGGCGCTGCTTTTCGTCCAATAGCGTCTCTTGGTTTTGGTCATCGTTGGGGACGTGTCCCTCCACACTTCTGGCTTCACCCCTGGTCATGTCGCCTCCAGAAGCTTCCTATCCCCCATGCTTTTCCTAGACTCTTCGGTGACCATAAGGCTGTATTGTGGTCACTGAAATAATGACCAAAATACAACCTTGTGGCTATAATTTTTTTAGAGCTCCACTCGGGAGTAGTGAAGTATTGAAAATAAAGCAAAATTGGAGGCTGCGTATTTTCTACGTCCTATACCAGCCTGTTGTCGTGTACCCACGTGTTTATTAGCTCGCTCCCGGATAGCTTGCCGAACGCAAAAGCCATGGGAACCAATAGTGTGGCTGGTGATGAGCAAGTTAATCGCGATAACTAATACCTTTAACGAAATGTATGAACAGCGACCACCTGGGAGCAAGCTCACAAACCAGTGTGCGGTCGACGAAATGCACGGACGCCGTTGTTGCTATAGTTTTTATATATTACCACTTCTGACCTAAGCTCTGAAAAAAAAAAATATATACACTATGTAGACATTAAGCTTTCTTTCGATCGATTGTCTGGCGGTTGGTTGGTTTGTCCGATGATGGCACACAGACACGCGGAGAGATGACGAATACCGCGACGATGCCCTTGAAAGTTGGCTTAGAAGGGCGGGAAGAATGAAATGTTCGCCTTTTTAGACTTAGGCTAGGTGGCGCAAGCTACCGCCCGTTATAAAGGGTATAGCCATTACATTAACATCCATCCATCGATCTAGGCTCCATCGTATCGCTTAGTATCGCGGTGCAATAAGAGTTATCGCTGTCACTCCACACACCATGATGGAAAGCTGCAGATTTTTTCTCTCTCTTTCTCTTCTTATCGAAGATGTGAAAGTTCGCCGGGTTAATAAGAAAACGGAATCTATTCCCGACGAAGCAAACATTCCTGCGACGTCTGGAAGGTACCCATATATGAGATTAGGATGCTCCGTAGATATCTACGAGAGACTGTTATAGACCAAAGAACAAAGAGGGGGTTAGCGAAAACTGCAAAACAACAAGAACGTCTTCTCAAAGCTGGATATCCGCAACATCTACTCAGTACCATTCTTGTTCAGTTAATTTTAGCTACCCAAAGAGCCCGTGCTCCACGTATTGAACTGCGATCTCCCTTATGTGCACAACTCTGCACACAGACTGAAGGGAACAGCAGCACGCTTCAATACTTCAGTTGTCTCCTCGTGCAAGTTTCAGCTAAAGCAACTTTGCAGAAGTGTGAACAACGAAGCCTCCAACAGATGTTTAATCAAACATCCCAATCAGACCGTTCCCCGTGAAAAGCGTGTGGTATACTCCATCCTTTTTTATGCGGTGACCGATACATTGGTCAGACAGGCCGTTGCCTGAAGACCCGCTTAATTTAAGGGACCATATCCTGGAGGTTTCCCGTGCTTCGGGCGATTCTTATAATCCAATTGTTGTGCATAAACGCCTCTGCACGGACTGTGAAACTCGATTCCAGGGGCCCTATGTTGCGCTTTTTGGACTCCCACGGCGACTACGGAGAAGGAGTGACGTCAACAACGCAGCAAACGGAGATTGGATGTCGATTGGTTCTCACCAGTCAACATCCAATCTGCGTTTGCTGCCTTGTTGATGTCACTTCGTTCTCCGTAGTCACCGTGGGAGTCCGAAAAGCGCAACATAGGGCCCCAGGACACCAGCATAATTGGGAGACACAAGAACAAGCCCGACCGAGGGATTGTGGAAGCCTACGGGATAGCAGGTGACGAACACAACATCGCTGCTCCTTCTCTTGGGTTGTCCAGGGTTGAGAGGAACTACCTGAAGCCATAACTGAATTAGTCAATGGGCTCATCTATCTATAGACGCTTTGCAGCAGCTGTGGATGGACGCCGCCATAACTGACCTTCAGTTTTTGTTTCCTCTTATTTTGTTTATTTCACTTCATCATTACCATAGCAGGCCAGGTTATTGGCATATTCAACTGTGTTATTTTCGAAAGCATCGACCTTTGTAGAGGATCGTCAACTACCGTTTCAGTTGCTCGGCATCTCGGTAAGAGAAGAGAAGGTAAGCAATGGCGGCTGTAATTTGGCGCGTGTGTAAAGCGTCTATATTTGTCAATAGTTTTTTCTTCTTCCTTCCTTTTTCTTTATCTTCTAGTTTATTTCGGGGGATTTTCGTCTTTTTCCGGGTGTTTTTTCATGCATCTTCTTCTTTGGTTTATAAATTTGGGAGGGAGATTGTACGTATTGAAGGAAACATCAGTAGAAATTCGTAGCTAGTTCGTTACATTTGATATTATTTAACAACTATTTTTTTTTTTAATTTTTTTAACTCTTGAACTTTTTGCATCACTCGAACTATTTACGCCGAGAGTGTAGTCGACAGTAGGCCAGCATATCACCTGGTTTATACCTGTTCGTGATTAATTTTGTAATTATTTTTGTAATTTTTGTAACTCTTGGACTCTGTTGTATTAGTATTATTTTCCTTTTCTTTGTCTTCTATTCATCTGTTTTCCTTTTCTTTTTCTTTCGCCTTCCCCCCTTTGCCTTGTCTTTCCCCTTTTCTTCCTTGGCAACCTATTCCTTAGGGTCGAAGAAGAGGAAGTTTGAAATACAAATCAGGTTGATAATTCAGCGCTGTGTGAGTGTATTTTTTGTGTGCTTGGATTTTGAATAACTGTCAACTTGCGCTGGCTCGTAATGATGCCTCACCAACTCGCCCAATCTGCAGTATTAACGAAATTCGCGTGTTGCATATTAGAATTTCGTAACCCCTGCACAATGGCGGAACAAGCGACATCGTGGAACGTGCAAGTCATTCCATAAGGTAGCAAAGGTAGGAGAGGGCGGCCAACGCTATAGATACTCCGTTTCACCTTATGTTGCACTGCAGCGAAGGCTAGAAGCGCGTGCTCATAGCGTATGCAGCTGCCCTTAATGCACGAGAGCTTGTGTCGCCGAGACTGTGCCCTAGAGCAAGGAACTCGCGCTTGTAGCCTTTCCTGCGGTACATCATAAGGTGAAATAGAGTATAGGAGACGTCAAGCCGATCAAATAGCATCGAAAGTGCAACGTCACTGCGCTCATCACCTTTTTTCTGTGGGTGTGCTTTTTCTTCTACTCCAACCAAACGCATAAACTATGCCGTGACGTTGCAGTTTTAGCCCGCCATTATGCAGGGATTTCCCAGCTGCCAACAGAGGGCAGTATTTCGAAAAGGTATCTGGTTCTCTATCTACGCCAAAACTCAAACAATTGCTAGCCTTTCGCTTTTGTTACAACAGCGGAGGCTTGTGAGTTCTCCCACAGCGTATATTTAGGTGGAAGGACCAATCGCGGTGCATTACTCCATTTCTGAATACACAGTGACACCGTGGCACGCGCCTATATTGCGCCGATTCATAGACAAAAAAACGGCGTTCGATTTCATGCAAGGGATGTCCCTCTACAGTACATGCAAAGGGACATCAACTGTTGTTCTCGGCGCGTTACAAGATTACCGGTTCCTTGCCTGTGTCCCGCAAGTAGACCCTTTTCGAAAGTCCGCGCCAACGCCTGTCTGCCTTTGCCCTGTCACGTGATCTGAGCTCCTATTGGACACGAAGGCTGCGTCACCGTTTGGCAAGGACTCGGATCCAATCACGCGCTTCGTACTGCCAATGTTGCTCGATGGACTTTTGAAAAGGGCCTATGAACTCCGGCGGTGGCTGAGGCACTAATGCGCACTGTTACATTGCCGCGTTTAAATCTAGCTTACTTAAGTCCCGCCAAATTTAGCGGACGGCGTTCACGTGACACTGTGACGTCACGTGACGCCATGAGATCGCTTGACAGTGTGATGTCACGTGGTTCCGTGACGTCACGATATTTTGACATGCACCCCTGTGATGGCGATGATGACAACTAAACACTTGGTTTTGGTTTGAAATGGATCGTTTCTGGGAATAAGGTTTGAGATGGATGAGTTAGTATATTCAACGCCATTTAGAAATATAGAAACACGTTTATAGGCCGTAAGTATGTCTAAACTGCGCGAAAAATTTTAAATGTAATGATAATGGCAAATCGTAGCAAATTGCTTGCGGTTGCTGCATGTGAATGCAGGCGGCCCGTGTTGCTGCAGTGTTGCGACGTCAAGTTGCTAAGAGAAATTGCCCCATCTGAATTTGCCATTAGGTCCGGCTGCGCAGTGATGCAGCCGGCCGTAAGCCGTCACAAGAGGCTTAAAATCCTGTCTTGTGTCAGTCGGTCGAAGTCATAAACACAAGTGTCTTAACGGGCCTTTACGGGATCCGCTGCGAAACCTCGCTAATAGGGAGTATTCACTGGCGGCCATAGCCGTGTGCGAGACTGCCGAGCGCGTGCTGATGGCGAGCTTCCACAGTTCATTTGCAACGTGCATTCCGCACCATCAAGATGATTGGTCTCAGCAGCCTATTGATGTGAGCTCGTTCTGAGCATGCGCTCTAAACAGCACCCACAAATATGGCGTTTAGTGAATACTCCCTATGGAGTTTTCGTAGACCGCGTTTCCCCCTCCGCCAAGCCCTCCGCTACGAAGCAGCCTGCGCCGGCGCGCCGATGGCCTTGACTGTAGAGTTCCGGCTAGCGTATACCTGGTTGCGGAGAGCGTTGCGGGACAGCGAAAAAAATCTAGGAAAACTCCTTAATAGCAGAAGAATCGCGTACGCAACGCTGAGCCGTGGTTCTCACCCATCTGAGTTGACTGTCGCTAGTGAGCTTCCGCCAGAACTGGCCAAAGTTGGAATAGATGGACTCCAGTGACACCCCTCTGATGATGGGGATCAGCGCTTTTACAGCTGCCACGACTGAAAGGTAAGAGAGAGTTTTATATTGTACAGGACTTGATTAGGAAGCTTGGTAGACAGCGGTAAATTCTTTCAACAATGGTGTACCAAGGTACACTCTAAAAACTGTCACGCTGAACCTCACGCTAACTGCGAGTTTCAAGCGTGGAGCCGACGTCAATACGACGGGAATGACGTTTTAAGCACCACGTGATGGAGAATAAGCGTTTGTTTTCTGTGTCCAAGCGTTAGAGCAGTCTGAAGAATCCCGCTCGGCCTTTTTTCCGTATGTGATCAACAGCGTTAGCGTGACGACCGCAAAGCACACGCTTAGATTTTTGGAGAAACGCGCGCGCCTCCATTGATCGTCACGCTAATAAATATCCGAATGGGTTGACCCTCCTGAAGATGCACCAGCGCGGGCTTTTTTGTTAATTTTTTGTTGATGAAAGCTTTTTTTTTTTTTTTTTTCTGGAAGCACAGGGGGCGGATGCGTCGTCTTTTTTGGCGGGAAAAGCGAGAAAGCCGTTGCGTTGTTCCCGTTGCTCCCTGGTTTGCTCATTTAGTTCCCGACACGCCTTGTTTGTGGCTGGGGCTGGTGGCTGGACCAGCTTGACTGACTGCGACTTGCGAGATTTAGCGGGAGACGGCGCGTGAGTTCGGGCACAGTGTGCCATGTTTACCGCACTTGACGTGCGTGGAGTGCCGCAAAGCCGCTGCAAACATAGCGAGTGCGAGTGCCCCGAATTCATGCGGGAGACGTATCTGAATGCCAGCCAAGGAAAGGGCTTCCCATTTGGCTGGTGCCTTTACTGCTGCCATTCGCCAGTTATTCATGAAAGACTGCAATATTTGGGTAAGAACCCTGTTTTCGTTTATCCCTCATCACTGTCTTAATCCGCTGTTTTTTTTTTTTCTTTTGTTGTGAAAGCGCAAGTATCAAGTACCACAATCTCCACCGTGTTGGTTTTCTCGAAGCGATGTGCTTTTCAGCATAACTGCCTCATCTAGGAAACAGTTTTTGCTGCTTGTGATTGAGCGCGGAATTGAAACAAATGTTGTTCATTTGGAAAGGTGAAGGAATGAACCGTGCATGTTGGGGCGTAGTTGAGGTAGTCGGGTGGGTTTGTTCTCGGGTGTATATGGAGACTCCAGTACATAAATAAGCTTGTTATTCCAAGTGTTGCATTGCTGTCGCAAAAACTTCAAAAGCATATTTTGCCGTAAGTCCCGCCTCTGCGTCGATCTCCCGTGTTGAAAGTTAAAGGCCCGTTCACACTCTTGCAACCGAGTACGACTGAGAAAGACCAGACCGTTTTTAAGCCTCTTGCGATCTCTTAGGACAAGCTCCGCTGCAGCCCATCCGGTCCTAAGAAGTCGCAAAAGGCTTAAATACCGGTCTGGTCTCTCTCAAGGCCCGTTCACACTCTTGCGACCGAGTACGACTGAGAGAGACGAGAACTCTTGAAACTTCTTAAATGTTTTTAGAATGAGGAAACACACTGGCATTGTGGCGCCATCTATGCGGTGAACCTGGAACTGCATTTCACAAGAGCGAAGGTTTTGCGGGATTTCCGAGGTCAAATGTGCGTAATACCCATAGAAAGGCTCGTTTATAACATTGACAAAAGTTTTTCGAGAAAAAAAAAAAAAAAAGGATAATGCGCGAGAAATAAAAAAAATATGCCGGACCGCCGAGTTTACACTGCTTCCCAATAGATGGCGCCAGTGTGTTCTCTGGTTTAAGAAGTTTTAAGGAACCCAGGTTTAAGAGGTCGCAAGAGTGTGAACGGACCTTTAGTCTAAAGGCCCGTTCACACTCTTGCAACCGAGTACGACCGAGAGAGACCAAACCGGTTTTTAAGCCTCTTGCGATCTCTTAGGACCAGCTCCGCTCAGCGCATCCGGTCCCAAGAAGTCTTTCTCGGTCGTACTCGGTTGCAAGCAGGGCCGTAACCAGGGGGGGGGGGGGGGGGGGGATAGGGGGTTCTGACCCCCCCCCGAAATTTTTTTCTGGGTATGGCCCTGGTCGGTGCACTTGCAGCCAGCCGATTTTAATCTCCACATCTGCGCACGCGCAGTGGCACCGGTCGGCTACCGGGTACCAAACCGGGACCGGTTCTTCGGTTTGCTATAACTCTCCATTATATGCCACCGATGCACATGATTCATAGGCGAAAATAAGACAAAATGGCCGCCGTTGTCCTCGAAACCCCCCCCCCCCCCCCCCCCCCCCCCGAAATTTTTTTCTGGGTACGGCCCTGGTTGCAAGAGTGTGAACGAGCCTTAAAGGCCCGTTCACACTCTTGCGACCGAGTTAGACCGAGAGAGACCAGACCGGTTTTTAAGCCTCTTGCGACTTCTTAGGACCAGCTCCGCTTCATCGCATCCGGTCCTAAGAAGTCGCAAAAGGCTTAAAAACCGGTCTGGTCTCTCTCGGTCGAAGTCAGTCGCAAGAGTGTGAACGGGCCTTTACGCTTACACCCTAAATGTCTATTATTGCTACTGCGTGGTCCTGCTACTGCGTGCCTACCCTAATTGTTTTCTACTTTCTTGCTTGTTTGGTCAATGATGTACTGCAAAGGTGTCATTTCTACTTTGAGGTTTAGCACTGCCTGAGCTTGATTTTTTAGACAATGTTTGCTTGTTTACAGTGTTGCGCAAAGTAAAAAGTACTTGAACTAAAGTACAAAATAAATTAGAGGTTATGTACTTCAAGTAAAATAGTAAGTACACTTTCTAAAGCGTAGCACTTTAAGTTCCATGTGCTCTGAGTGCTTTCCAACACTGCTTGCTTATTATTTTTATAAAAAAAAAAAAAAAAAAACATTGGGGGAATTACTAATTAAGGTTTCTCGAACGATCTTCGAACCATTCAAAAACTGCATATTCAGAGTTTTGGAGGGAAGACAACGCAAAAAGGTCCCCTTCGCGTTGCCCTTTAGCACGCGGTTCTTCGAGTGCAGCACAAACTACGGGAGCACCAGATAAGCTCAAGAGGAGGTGCTGCATTTTGTTGCCTCCTTTGACTGAGGACGCAGTGTGTGCATCTCCTGTAGTGGGCGAGAGTTTCTACGTTGAGGAGAAGCGGGGAGCAGCCCTTTCTTCAAATGGGTCAAGCCTCCTTGCTCATCGGGACACAAAAAAAACGCCAGTCTTCGGCGCTAATCCCGCATTTACTGGGCCCCACTTGCGTCGTGTCTATTCGTTCCCCGCACATCGTAGCAGTAAAATTGAAGTGGGGGGCTCGTGAAAATTTTTAGGGGTTTCAGACTCTCCAAACAATCCCCCCTCCCTTTCCTACGCCATATGCAAATATCTTTGCAAATGACAGCTGATCTTCTGACATCTTATCTCTTTTGAGCAGGAATGTTTGTTGATAGGCAAAACGACCACTAAACTTCGAAAGTAATTTGTAATTTGAGTAGAAGTTACTCAGAAAAAGTAATTGAAGTAAACTAATAAATACCGAAATAAAGATATAATTGAAAGTTACTAAACTACTCCGAAAAGTAGTTAAACTACAGTAACCTGAGTAGAGTAGTTGAATTACGTACAAGTCTGCTGAGGCTGAGTAACAACAGAGGCAGCCGCGTCAATCTTTGCATATTCCGATGCTTGCAGGCATGTTTCATTTTGGTTTTAATCGGCCTCAACCCAATCGTTTCTTTGAGATAAAGCTTTGCAGAAATATCGAGTTAGCTTGAGCGGCGTCGCCGTCGGCGCAACCATAACGCGTCCGCGTAACGCTTTTTCGTGACGCTCGCAAGAAAACCCACTGATTTCGGCGGCGAGTAGCGCACTTTCGCAATAGAGAGAATACTTCAAGCACGCTCATAGCGCCATTAATGCTACACAGCTTTACAAACTAAGAACAGCCTGTTATGAGCGCTTCAGTTAGTGCAACGTGGACAATGTTAACGTTCAAGTGTTTATACTCATTTTTGTAATACTAAGTTTTTTTAGGCCATAATATCTTAATCTTATTGTTAACAGGTTGCACCGACGGATGTTCTGGGACCCTGCATTGTGTGGGCCGAAACGAGACGGCTAGTCTGCGGCAACGAACCACGTAATGAAATCGACCTGCAACCAGAGACGTCTCTCGAGAAAGGGCTGGTGCCATGCCTCTGTGTTTACTACTTAAAGAGCTTAATTTACCCAGCAGCATTTGGGCAGATGCTTAGTTTTGTACAGAGAGTAGTGAAACCAGCAAGCAGATCTGAGGTAGCGTGGGCCCAGAAAAGGGTGCGTGAGGGAGTTATGTACGTCAATATATTAATAGATCTAGTCAAGTGAACGAAAGGGCCCTTAATAATGAAAAATCTAAGATATGTAGAAAAATATTTCAAGTGCCACGTGGTCGAATGCTCCAAAACTAAATCTAGTCATTACGCCAATTCAAGTTTTGTTAACAAATGTTGACTTTCCTAACAAAGTCAACACTTTGCTTATTTGAACTCATTCAATAATTATGCCAGTTTCACCTTTGTTAGCGAAGTGTTGACGTTGTTTAAACTGGTTGTGTTTCGTTACGAACCATTTTTAGAAGGAAAGACCTCCTTCTTATTTTGTGGTTAATTTCTTTTACAAAATCACAAACTTGCCACCAAGCACAATTTTTCTAATATACCAATTGTTGTATGTTGTAGAAAATGAACCGCAAAGAAGTATAACACGACACAATTATCACTGTAGCTTCAAGACATATGGTAATGAATTATATATTGATATTTTTACTAACATTTACTGAAAAATATATCCTGATTCACACCCGCTAAAAATTCAAAATATTGACATTCGGTCATAGTTGTTTTATGATACTCATAGTTGTTGCAGTTGTTAGCAGTTAGTGGGCTTAATACTTTTTAACGGCTTATTTGTGCAAAAAAAAAAAAAAAGATTTTCTAGTAAAGAGTTTAGCCCCGAAGCTGAAATTTGTTCGCCTTCCTCTATTTAGTTCCTTTTGGACTGTTCCTTCTTGTAACTGGAGCCTAACGAGATCTCTCTCTCTCTCTCTCTTTCTTTGGGTTTTTAGATGCCAAAGATAAGTTTCCTAAAATCTTTATACAAGTTGTACAGCTGTGAACAGCTTGCAGCTGCTTAGCGCAATGTACCAGGCGCAACATGATTCACAACTGTCATTCGTATATGTGCGTAATTATACATGAAGCAGCACGTTGATCTTTCTTGCACTACTAAATTCGTCCAAAGGAGTACTTGGAGAGATTTAGTAGATTGTTTTGTAGCTCCTATAACGGTATCCGATAACAAAGCATGGAGGCCCGTGTGTTCACACGCTTATTACGGCGTGAGTTTTCTTCACTCTCAAAGAATGACGCCTTCTAGGCGCGTGAAATGTGCGTCGTGCACGTAAACCTCTGGCGGCTGACATTGGGCTTTCTCGCATTTAGTATATCGTCCCAATAATCTTAGTTATTGGGATGATATACTAAATGCGAGAAAGCCCAATGCCCACGGCCAGAGGTCTCCACCGCGACGCACATTTCACACGCCTCGGAGGCGCCATTATCTAAGCGTGGAGAAAACGCACGCCGTAATAAGCGTGTAAACACAAGGGCCCCCTCACGCCTGCCAAGCGTTAAACCATAGCACAGTTCACGCTTAGGGAGCGTGACTTCTAAGCGTTGAAAAACAGCACGCTTAGAACAAGCGTGTAAAAAATCTCTTTGCGTCACGCCTCCAAGCGTTAAACCTATGCTCAGTTCACGCTTAGGGAGCGTGAATTCTAAGTGTTGAAACACACCACGCTTAGAACAAGCGTGCAAAAAATCGCTTTGCGTCACGCTTGCTCTGCGTGACCATTTTTAGAGTGTATGACCGGACTGCACACTTAGCCCGTGACATAGAACGTCCAGAACCTTCATGTCCGGGGGGTTGTGGTTTTCCGTATACACCTTAATCAAGCAATATTTTTGTGCCTCGCGGGATTTTTTTTTTTTTTTAAGTGTGGTTTGTGTATGTGTGTGGAACTTCATGCCACAAAGTATTTCTTTTTTTTTAGTAAGAAAACCTGTTTTTGTTTTGTATTGGCACACCTCCACTAAACTAAGCTATTAGCGACGTTTGCGTCCATAAGTGTCGTTATGGTCGGCTTCCACAATTGTCCAAACGCTCACTCGACGCCTTTAGTTGAGTTAATTTTGCTGTCATCGACGGGAACATGAGCAATGTCAGACTGTCAACTTTGGCGGTGGTGGTTTATAACTCCGAATATCCATCATGTTTTCACACGCACTGTCGAACCTGTCCCTAGGAGGGAGGTAGGGAGTTGTCCCTAGGCTCGTGACGTCACGGCGAGGCAAATCCTAATCGCGGCGCCACGAATGGCAACCCACTCGGAACAAAGGAAAAGGCTAACGTGGCGAATAGCAGACGGTGGCGTCTGCTATTCTGCGGAAGAAAGCTACTGCGCATGCCCAGAACAAGTCCCACAGCCGAGTAGACTATAAGATGGCACCCCGCAGTACGCAATTACTGGAATGGTCTGTGTACGATTAGATTTATGTTGCGATGAATAATTAACTGATGGCATAAAGTAATGAAAAAAAGAATGCCAGAAGGGTTTTTACCAATTTCTGTCCCTCGTCCAGCCGTGAAAGTGAGTCCGTGGCCTTGCAGGTTATTGTCCGTGCTAATGATGACGTAGGCGCACGAGTAGTCCGGATCTGTGTGCTTTGGGAGAAACATACAGTTGAGAAACTTTAAAATCATGTCAAATTTGCACATAGGGTAATTCCTAGTCGCAGTCGGGTGTTTCAGCGACGACTTTCCAAATTCCTTAAAATTGGCTGGTTGAGGGGGAAAAAGCGAACCCTTTCCGGGAATGAACTGCAGCCCGCCGCGGCAAACTTCAAGGATTGCAAAAAAAAAAAAAAAGTATTAAGTAGCAAAATAATTAAACAATATTTACTGAAACACTTTTCAGTTACATGGTTCCAATTAGAAACCTGCTGAGTATCATCGAATACAAGTAAATTAGCTCTTTTTAGAAAGATAGAAAGCACGGACACCATTCCATGGCGTCCCGGAAAAGCGTTCATGTTGGACGCGTTTAGGTTTCGGTTTCATGTCGCAGGAAGATCCCATTGGTGGATTTTGGGGAAATCTGTTAGCATGACCCTTGGGGAAACGCCACACGCGTTCCCCTTTGTGGAAACGCAAACACTGACCGCGTGACGAGGCCAAAAAGAGGAAGCAAAATATAGAGGAAGCAAAAGAGAAAGCCGAAAGGAAAAAAGGTGTGTTTCCAGTGGTCATGCTAACGCATTCCCGAAGAATGCACCAATAGGTCTTCCTGTAATTTTTTTTTATTATTTTTATTATAAGACTTTATGATTAAGACAGTCAGATTCCCCACGTAAAATCTAAGAGCACCCCAAGAACCAATTTTTTGCTTTCAATTTGTTTATATACATACGGGGTGTTTTTTTAAGCTTAACAGATTTGTTTAAAAAAAAGCTATGAAAGTTACACTTATGCCGCTTGTGGAGGTGAGTTATACGGCCAGGGGGACATGTTATAGAGTGCTAATCGTAACAATCAATCGACTAATTAACTAAAATTCATTAATTAACTTTTTTAAATAATAAAAATAGACATATGGTTCCAATTAGAAACTTGCTCAGCGTTATTGAAAACCATTAAATCAGTCATTTTCAGAAAGACATTGAGCGCGTGAGAAGCGTAGTAGTGCACTAAAGTTACCACTCGTGGAGCAGGTACAAAGCTAGCGGTTGCGGTAAGGCGCCCGCGCGATTTTTCCGTCTCTTATCTAGCCCCAGCCTTGTGCCTGCTCCACGAGTGGTAACTTTAGTACAATACTACGCTTCTCACGCGCCGAAAGTCTTTCTGAAATTGACTGATTTAAGGGTTTTCGACGACCGTCATCAAGTCCCTAATTGGAACCATATGGCTATTTTCATTAATTAAAAAGTTAATTAACGAATTTTAATTAATTAGACGACTGATCGTTGCGATTAGCCCCCTATAATATGTCCTCCTGGCAGTGTAACTCACCTCCACAAGCGGCATAGGTGTAACTTTCACGGCTTTCTTTAAACAAATCTGTTAAGCTTAAAAAACACCCTATATATATATATATATATATATATATATATATATATATATATATATATATATATATATATATATATATATATATATATATATATATTTATTTATTTATTTATTTATTTATTAAGGCTGTTTCAGTTGAAGAGTTCTTTCTGAAAGGAAACTGCAATGAGGTTATGAGCAGGGACTGAAACCGTATAACGGTTCGGGTACGGTTACTGTTTTTTCTTCAAATCGGTTTCGTTTCAATTTTTTAGGGTTTCGGTTTTTACCTTTTCGATTACCAATGAGTTGCCCCTAAAAACCGTTTTTTTCTTTCTTAAATAAACGGTTTGAAGTAATTTCTGATATTCCATAACGGGTCAGCGAGTCACAAGTAATCTGAGTCTTAAAAATTTGTCTGTGTGTGTGGATAGACTGCGTGATGCTTGTCAACCGTTTGCAAGTTCGGTCTCAGGGCGCCGCCATTTTCCTCAGTGGGGTGCGTACTTGGGCGCGGCCTTAATCCGATTACGACGCCTTAGCAAGGCTTCGTAATCGGATTATGACTCGTCCAAGCGCACTCCAGCCAAGCAAGATGGCAGCGCCCTGATTTTGGAGACGTTTTCATAAATTATTTCCCAGTAAACGCATCCACAGATTATTTAATAAAATGTAAAAAATATATGCACCAATAATTCTAGTCTATGAATATAAAAACAATATTTTTCTGCCTACTGTTGTCTTTCAGGCGTCAATCAGGAAATAAAACTTATTGATAAAATATTATCTACATTGAGCGTAAATAAAAAAAAAAATCTCATTTTTTTTAACCTTTATTAACATATCTTTACTGACTTGCATGAACTCACATCCGTCGGGAAAACATTGAGTAATCTATGACCTGCAGATGATGAAACCGTTAGGTAACTTTCACTCATAATAAGCCGACTTCTCTTTGTCCTTTTAGTTTGTCGCACATCATCTTCATGAAGGCGCCTTAGAAGCGTTTAATACTGCGATTTGGGGATGTATAATAGGGAGCGAGAAGAATCTGGTGCTCTAGCAGTTCAGCCTGTGAATGCCCATGTCTTCTTTAAATGATCAACTCAGTCAAGCTGTTTTTTTTAGCACCGTTATACCATAACGTCCCTAAATGCGCGTCTTTCCACTGGGGTCACGTTATACTATCGTATTTGCGAGCAGAATATGCGTGTGTCATGCCTAAAATGAATATTTTTAAACGTTTGATGTATTGATGGTTTCATTAAACAAAGTTTACAATGACGTTCATTGGCGGAAGATAATACCACGAAAAATTAAACACAGTTTAAGATATGGGAATCAACCGTTTATTCTGAATTCATTGAAATGAACTAATGTCACCTGGCCGAACCGGGCGACCGCATTCGTTCAAATGAATACCGTCAATCGATGAAATATCGTGGACGAGGTTTCGCTCGCTAAACCGTCGTTCGCTAAAGTGAGTGCCTCCCCATCGAAATATCCGGACTTTCCAGATTATCATTTTCTCTCAATAAACTATTTCGGAAATATAAAGGGCAGACACCGTGAAAGAGTTGAACAGCTCGATAACCACTAAGCCTTCACTCGTCAGTCAAGGAGGTGAACGAAAAGGAGTAGCAGGCAGGGTGAGGAGGAGGGAGGAGGGGTATACCCTCCCCCTCAGTACCCTTCCATCCTCCTCCTCAAGAGCTGCGCTCTAATTCGGCGTTACAGGGAGTTGTAAACGGCTCTTGTTTTCATTTGTAAACACAAAAAAATACAGAATTAAAAGAAGAATGTAATGCTACCGACCGGTGGGCGATACAAAAACAGCAAAAAATATGTGATTGTTACGTAAAGAAAGCACTTCTACATCATTCGTGATAGGAGAATAATCGTTCAGCAGTTCCCAGTCAATACCCTTTCTGATCGCGGGCGTATGCAGTACAAGCGCGCCTCTCCACGCACGCAAGCAGAGCGTTTGAAACAAGGAGGTTAGAGGTACTAGGAGTGGGCTAGTTGCAATATTGGTGAAGCCTAGTCATAAAACGTTTAAACTATATTGTGCCCAATGTGACCGCAGATCTCTCTGGCGATTGGTGCGCGTGACATGTCACGTGCCAGGTGGATGGTTGATTGTAGAAGGATTCCTTGGAGGCTTGCGCGCGCTCCGTCCTGTAGGTTTTATCAGATCGAAGGCTAGACGGAGGCTAGCTACGGTCACGTGATGGGGTCATGTTGGGCTGATAACTGAGGAGAGTAAGGAGGAAACTTGAGAAAGAGGCGAGCTTGTGGAGGCCACGCGACTGACGTCGTGCCCTCTCCTACCCTTCTATTTTCCATGGTTTGAAAGGGCGCAGTACGCGATGTGCAAAAGAAACGTGACCGTAAAATATCCCAGATATCCTGCTCAAAACTTGAGAGCTACAGGCTTACAGTTACTGATACCATGGCTTCACAATCCGCGGCGTTTGTATCATCAGCTGCCGCAATACCCTTGGCGATAATACGACAGCTTATAAAGGGGCCCTGCAAGGACTTTTTCACTGGTTTTTAATTTCCACCGAACCTGAGCGCACTGAACGTAGTAACTTAGTGAAACTTTTCTTTTCTCGAATAGCGCTTTATTTTAAAAGTTATAGGCAAAATAAAATTACAAGAACAAACAAAAAATGACCTCCTTCATGACGTCCTTGGTTGCTTGAGTGGCCGTGAATTAGAGGAGGGGTAGTGAGCTGAGCGAGCGCTCACGCCTGCCGCACTCCGTGTCGACGGCGTGAGAGGGCGCCACTAAAGCATGTTCTGGATAGGCTGTATGCAGTGGGCAGCCAGAGCGGCTCTCATTGCATTTGCTGCGCGATTAAACACTAATTCAGCATGACACTTCGTTGGCCACAAACGACAGCGAGCACGAGGTAAAGATCAGTTCAGAATGAGAGCCACTTCGCGCTGCCATACCGCGAAACGGCCAAACCGCGAAAACAAAGCTGCTCGCCGAAGGCCTTCGGAACGCTCAGAGCCGGTCGGATCCTCCAGTGCATACGACCGCAGTGCCGCCGCGTACATCCGGGACCTTTCCGTGTCGGCGCCTGATCCCACTACTCCTTTCTAGTATGCGCCGCCTCTTCCACCGCTTGGTGGCAGGTATGTCGACGGGTCATTTGTTGTTTCCGTACTTTATAAACTGCATTTGTTTCTTTTCTGATCTAAAATCCTGAACAAAAACTACTTTTATAAGTAATTGAAACGATTCGCGCCACTTATATTTTGTATTTCGACTAAAAAGAAGCTTTTAGCCGCTCTGACCAGTAGTAAGCCCAAGACCGAAGACGTCACATATCGCGCGCTTTCGGTACCGCGGGTCGCCCCCGTCGGTGGAGGAGGTTTCCGCGTCGTCCGGTTAAAATATGATGCACTGATATTTAGTTACTCCCTCCGTGCCCGCTGGCTTGCCCGAACCCCAAGAGACGTGGAAACCGCAAAAAAGGTAGACGCTTAATTATGATTGCAGGGCCCCCTTAATGGAACTTTTCTTTTCTCGAATTTCACTTTATATTAAAAGTTATAGACAAATTAAGATTACAAAAACAAGCAAAAAATAACCTCCTTCATGA